GCACAGCCCAGCCACGTCCCCAGGCCTTCACTAAGGGCACTGCCCAGCTGCGTGCCCTCAGCACCGCCTGCATGCAAAATTAACTTAACCCAGACCTGAGGAAATGGAAGTTTGTTGGAGGAGCGAGCTCTCCTCACCAGTACAGCACAGTGACAGCACAAACCCACTGCTCCCCGGCCTTCAGATATTGGCCACCCCATTCACTCCCCATTGCTCCCACCCTGAATGCACCCCCAGCTTTGCACACCCAGCACAGAGGGGCTGAGTCCTCCCCTAGCCCCCATACACCCCTCCCCAATTGATTCCCCTGGGCCATTTTCTCCCAGCACAGCTATGGCACAGAGCAGAGCTCCAGCACTGCACGCAGCCACTCTCCCAGCAGACCCAATATCCCCAACCCAGCTCCCAACCTCGGGCACTAATTAACACCGAACACAAGGAATTAAACCCCTATGAGACCAAAGGAGCCACGCACAGAACTTTCCCAACTTGTGGCTGCGCTCAGCAGCCCCAACCCGAAATGGAAACCGATGGGGAAAGGCTGAGCATCACTCCTCCACCCCGGAGGTCCCCGTGCACGCACGCACACAAACGCCTCACACTTGCGGGAGCTTCACTGCAGCCGCCTCCCACCGAGCCCACCGCTGCTCCAGTGCAAAGCGAAGCGACAGAAGCAAAGCAGCACCGAACATCGCGCTCCCAGCTGCGGGCACACGGCGTTCGGTACGCGGTGCCGTGTTGGTTTTACACCGGGGATGCTCAAACGATGGTGCTGCGGCCCCACTACCGCCCCGGGTGGGGGGAGGAGGGGAGCGGGGAAGGCTCGGTGCCCGCTCGGTGCAGCCGAGGCTCGGGGACACGGCTCAGCCCGACAGCGGAGCTGGGGAGGAAGGCCCCAGGGAGGCTGCGGGTTCCCCGGCACCGCTTCGCCGCAGCGCAGCCGACGTGAGGTCACGGTCCCGAGGGTCACACCTACGAGGGTTCAGCGGGGACGGAGCCCCCGACGGCGGCTGGGGACGGCACGGCACGGCGCGCTCTGCCGGAGTTCGGGCGGAGCGGCAAGGAGTGAAGTTGGGCCCGGGATCGGGTGCTGGGGGGGTTCCGCACGGTTCCCTCCGTTACCCCCAAGCAGCGCCGCTCGCCCGGCGCGGTCCGCGCAGCACCAACCCGCACAGCACCAACCCGCACGGCTGCGCACACCACCGCCGTCGCCGCGCACCCTTCGCCGCTCACCGGCCCAACTCCGCCGCCGCGCATTCCGCAACACCGCTCCTTCTCTTTCCCGTCCGAAGGCTGAGAACAACGGCCACGCGGAGCATCTCCCTTTCCACCGAGCGCGGAGCATCCCCGGACCACCACCACCATCACCATCACCACCCCCCTATCGCCCGCCTCCCCGCACCGCGCTCTCCGAACTTCGGTTCCCCCCCGATGTGGGCACCCCCCGGCGCTGCCCCCCCTGCCCGCCCCGCTCCGCTCCCCCCCGGGCGGCTCCTACCTGCGCGGCGCGGCTCTGCCCGCGGTGCTCCGGGTCCGCTTCGCCTGTTCGGGGCCCCCAGCGGCCACCGGGGGAAGTGCAGGGGGCGGGGGGCGGCGTGGGGGGGGTGGGGGTGAGGGGCAGGGGGAGGGCGGAGGGGTGGGATGGAATGGGATGAGGGGAAGGGGCGGGGGAATGGGGAGTAGGATGGAGATGGGATGGGATGGGAGGTAAAGGAAGGGGCAGAGGGATGGGATGGGACGGAGAGAGGGCTCAGAAATGGGAGGGAGGGATGAAGAGGAAGGTGGGGCAATGGGGAGCAGTGCAGGGACAGAGGGATGAAGGAAGATGGGATGCAGGGAGCTGAGGGTGGAGGGATGCAGGATTGCACTGCTTCCAAAGGGGATTGGTTTTCCTAAGCCCAGATTCAGCACTCCTGGGAGGAATGTTTGATATCCAGAAGGGCTCTGTCTTCTCCCCACAGATGTGATTCTGTGATTCTCCCCGCAGATCCCACCTCATTTTTTGCTTTGGGTCTCACTCCTATCACCCACAGCCCCACTTCTCCCCACACATCATGGAATCACAGAACCATGGAATAGTTTGGGTTGGAAGAGGCCTTACAGCCCCTCCTGACCCCAGCCCTGCCCAAGGACTGGCTTCTACCCTGCCTTGGGAGCACGGGGTGAGATGCACCTGCACACTGCTCCTGAAATCTCCATGAAGAGACATCCCACCGTGCTGGGAGCCAGGAGTGGGGTGGGTCGGACCTGTCCCATAGCATTCCTCAGCCATAGGGCACCAGGAGTGTTGCACCAGGGTCGGTTCCCAGGCGATGTCCTGCACTGCTCCATCCTCCTCTGCTGTACTGCAGCTCTGTTTCCCAGTTTGGTTGTTTGTTTTTTAAAAGCGAGAAAAACAAAGCTTCTAACCCATCTATTAGCTGGACTCCTGCATTTGGAGCAATGAACTCTCATTTGACAGAAATTCATCTTCCCCTCCTGCTGGGATGAAAGAGAAACAGAATCAACTTCACAAGAGAAGAAAAAAAAAAAAAACAACCGCCTCTGCTCCAGAGACAGATTGCTCACAGGGCATGCAGGGAACAGGAGCTCCGAGCTCATCCCTTACACATCAATCCCTGCAGGACAACAGCCACAGCTCATCGCTCTGTGAGCAATCCCCCTCTGCAGATGGCCCACCCGGCCATCCTGGCACCCCTCATTCCCAGCCCAGCACAACGCTTCCCTGCATCCCAGCTGTGTTTCCTTTCCATTTATGGCTACATCCCTCCAGGTCCCACTGTTAGGCCAGCGATGGGCTCAGGGCTGAGCACTGCATGGAGCAGTCCCAGTCACTGTCAATGGGATGGGCTGAGCCACGCTCTCCTCTTCCCCTTCTCCTCCTTCTGAGTTTGAGGTTCCAACCTCATCTGCTCTCTCCTGTTGCTCGGCCCAATGTGAGGCTGCAAATTGCTTCACCAAGCACTGCAGAACGACATCCATGGTCCCAGTGAGGATTTGTGGGATGCTCCCCCTCCACACAGAGCCCTCTGCGATGCACCTCTGTGACGACAGGGCTGAAGGTCGTGCTGATAGCTTGCAGTGCTGACCCCCATTGGGATTGCAGAGCTCTTTCATTTCGTGTTCTCTCCCCCACAACTGCCACCACCAAAGGGCGTTTCTTCTCTTTGCACACCGACAGAAAAATAAAAGCAGCCCCTTGAAAAGCCCAGATGAAAACAAACGAACTTCTCTTTGAAAGGCAGCGAGAGCAGAAGATTTGAGAGACTTTCAGGTGAGAAATAATTATGAAAAGAGAGCGAAGAAGAAAGAAACCACCCTAAAAAGACAAAGCCGTGGCCCATCCTGCCTGCTAAGGCATAGAATGAGTTGGGTTGGAAGGACCTCAAAGCTCATCCCGTTCCAACCCAGTGGTCCTTCCAACCCTTTGCTATAGGCAGAGACATCTCCTGCTTGACCAGGTTGCTCACAGCCCCATGCAGCCTCCAATGAGGGGACACCCATAAAGAAATCAGAGAGAAAGAGGTAGGAAATGCGTTCATTGACGATAAACCCAGATTGTATAAATGACTGCAAAGCCTCCAGAGGGCCAACAGAACGCAGATGTACTCTCCTACCCATGGAGCTCCACTTAGCGCCGTTTATTCAGCAGTGCTGAGTAAATATCAACAAGGAGGTTGAAAATATTGATGGGGGGAAAATACTTCACGTTGAATGAGCCGCAGACATCTGGAAACAAACAAACTGCTGCAAGAAAGCGGCGGAGATATTTTGGGTGCTTGGTTGCACCGAGAGCCCAGTGATGAGCTGCAGCTGCATGGCGCTGCACGGAGCAGAGGTGGGCAGGAGCACTGCTGGGGTGCTGAAATATTTGGGGGGAAGAGAAGCAATCACTACCTGAAGTGTATTGACCAGTCCATAAAAGGTCATTTAGAAAAGCTCCTGGAATAAAATGGAAGGGATGTAGGCTTGTGTTGGAATGGAGCTGAAAGGGGTTGGCTGAACTCAACCCACAGAGCAATCTGGGAATGAATGGGGGTGCAACAAGGAGAGGCCAATCGCTCCAGGTAAAGGCTACATAGGTGTCCCCAGAGAGAGAGAAATGCTGTGGGACACCCAAGGGAGAAGCTCCACTGGGACAAGCAGGAGATGGATGGCACAGGAATGCATCACCAGGTCAGCACTGCCCACGTGCCACGATCCCAAAGCACAGTGCAGCCTCTCAGGCCCTGAAATGGTTCTGGTAGAGCTCACAGCCAACGCTGTTGGACCTCCAGGCATTGCCATGGGGATTTGTTGGCAGATCCAGTGTGGGTTCAAGGGCACAGGCTGCAGGAGGCGGCAAGCAGAAGCTCAGCTGTTTACGTGTGATCATTTATTTACAGCAGTGCAATAAAGGGAATATATAAAATAACATTCAAACAGGCAAAACACGAGCAGCATCATTAGGAAAGAATAATAGGGCTCTGATTACCAATTATAATACAGCAACCTCTCCAGAAACTTCACAGCCTTACTGCAGGAGGAAAGGAAAAGCAGAAGGGAGAACTCTGCTCCTGCACTGCAGCATCACCACCAGCGCTGTGCCCTGTGAGCAAACCCCCATGGAAGCCCAGCAAGGCTGATGGTGACACAAAGCTGCAGCCTTCAGCCTAGCAGTGATGCTGCAGGGGAAGAAATTAGTCCAGCAAGGCTTAATAGTGATGACTGGTGATGCTGAGCTGCATTGAAGGGCTGCCTACAGACAAGTGGGGTATGCAAGTGGGACATGGACTGCATATCCCAATTCCAAATCCCACCCAGCACCCATGGGATGCTCAGTGAGAGCTGCCAACCCAAAGAACAGCACAACCCCATCCTCAGCAGCACCCACAGCTCCTGAAGAGCCACAGCAGCCAAGGAAAGCTTCCCCTGCCCATCAGGACAGCACACAGCCCAATGCTTCGAGCAATTTTACAGCAAAGCCACCCCCCAAAAAACAATCCAGCAGTCACAACTTATTTCCTTTAAGCTTATTTAATGATATTTGAAACGCGTAAATTTTCTATTTCCCAGATCCTGAAAACAACATTTTTCTTTTTTTTTTTTTTAAGTGACCAATATTTAATTCCAGAAACATACAACCTTATCAGCTAAGTCATAAAAGAGCTATTTTACAAACATACATCTGGATAATTAGAACAATAAAGTCTTTTTAGACATTCAAACATGATCAGTAAAAATACAGGATTATTAATAAAGATTCTTGTGTATTTTTTTTTTTTTAAAGAATACTTCCAGATTTCTTTCTTTTTTCTTCTCTTTAAAGTAGATCTCTGTTAAGAGTACATGATTGTATGTTGTACAAAGAAAATAAAAATATTCTAATATGAAGAGAGCTCCGAAAGACTGAATTCAAAATGCAACAGCAGTGTTTTGGCTGCAGAATCCCTTTTGCAGTACATCTGCTTGTCAGTTGGCACCTTTGGGGGAAGGGGGGGCTTCTTTGGGGAGCAGAGAGAGAACACAACGCCAGACAGCATCTCATAGCTGGGAGGAAAGAACTAAATTGGAGGAAGGATGGGCTGGGCAAGGAAACCAGAGAGCACTGCCTTGCTCTGCTGTCCAGTCTGAGGAAGGGAATGTACAATCACCAACCAGGAGCGAATTAAAATGCTTTCTTACCCTGGAAATTGGAATTTAAGAAAGGGTAACATTATGGCTTGGAGGGGAAAGGGGAATCCTGAAAAGTGCATTTAGTTCCAGCTCCTTCCGCACAGCGAGGCACGGCCTGAGGTTCTGCCATACAGTAGATGTGCCAGAGAGTAGAAAGGAACCCCTCATCATTCCGGGTTACTGCGCACAGATCCCTGACCCCACCATCATTTCTCTAGGGGAGTAATGCCCCATTTGCCAAGATGACCAACAAAGCAGCAGCAGAAACAGAACGCAACAGAAACAAAAACCCATGGTGTGACCTTTCTGTTTTCCATACAGCTGGGTTCAAACAGGTAGGGTTTCTCTGCCATTCCTTACAGCACTCTGCAGCCTCCTGCACTGCAGACCAGTCACCCCAAATGAGTTCCCTGCCACCTGTCAGCCCAGCAGAAAGCAAAGATATTTCCCCCCCGTGCATCCTGAGAGTGAAAAGGGACAGAGCTGCCCCTGCCCTCGTCCCAGCTTACATCCAGCATTATGGGGGACTCCAGCAGCTCGTAGGCTGGCAAGCTTTTGGACAGTGAGTCCAAGGACTGCTCCTGTTTCTGGAGTGTGGGTTGCAGACCAGCACTGTGCCAACTGACCGAGGGGATGATCTGGGGTGGGGAATAAAGGGAGCTGGATAGCAGGTTTGGCTGCAGCCCAGCTGAGTTTCTGGCAGGATCGGGTAAAGCTGCTGCATCAGCATGAGGCAGCATTCTACTTCTGGGGCTAAGCAGAGGAAGCGTGGGTGCTTCTAACCAAAGGAACTGGTGGGGCTGAAGGCGAGGAGGGGAGGTCCCAGCAGGTAAGGAGGGAAGTGCCTGGCTAATACTGACAGAACGTTCATGGGGTGAGCAGGATGGACCTGAGCAGGACCCAAGGAAGAAGCAGCTCCTGCCAGCATGGAAGAGAACACTTTGGCTTGTGTTGGCAGTGCAATGCTCCTGCTGGTGAACAGTGACACTTTGTGCAATCAGCTCTTCAAAAGAGGAACTCCTCCCTGCTCCATAAGGGATCGGGGCTCCTTCTTTCACACCAGGCCCCAAATCCTCTCTGTTCAATCCTTACATGAACTTATCCCTTGCCTATTTCTAATGGGAAGAAGAAAAAGGATCTCCTTTCCAGCTTAAGTTTAAAAAAAAGGAGAGATCTGACTCTGTGCCAATAGCTTACGAGAAAACATTTGTTTTAATGGAGCAGGGAGTACGATCTTTCTGCTGACCAAAGACAGATTCTCAGCACTTCATGATCCACGCAATTGCAGCTGCTATTGCAGTTCTGATGGGTTAATGGGATTTACAGGTTTGGCATGCTGTTCAGTTCGGCTTTGTTAAATTGTTTAAAACCTGGAAGGAAAGAGGGTGGAAAAAGGGACAGCTTTGCATGCTTTGCACTACAGCTGCCCCACTCTCAGAGCCATGCTGCTGCCCATCCCAGGACCAACCCAGGGCAGTGCACAGCCAGCAGAGGCTGCCCAGCATTGGCTCCGCTGGTGGCTGATGGTTACATCTTGTTCCCAGACAGGAAGGTATTTCAACAGCAAACCCCCATCAGAACAGGCCTAGGGAAGTGCTGGAGAGCTGTTTCAGCCTCCTTTGCTTTGCACATCTCCGTTTCAGTGAGAACACATTGGCACAAAGAAAGAAACAACAACTGAACACCCCAAGCCCTCAGCAAGACATACGTTCAGGTACTAAAATTTACTGGCCCTATAATCAGCAGTACCTGTGGCTAACTCAAATGGCAGCCCTTATTCATTCAGTAGTGAATCAGGGACAGACACCCATCCGCCCCACATCTTTGAAACACTTCTGGGTTTGCATTTTTTTCTTTTTTTTTCTTTTTTTGATCCAGAGAAGAGTTACAAAAGTGCTGCAGGTCCAAGTAATTTTATCACTTTACAAAGGAGACAATGATCAAAGCCAACAAAGTCAAGAAAAAAAATTAAACCAATTCTCCTCTCCCAGTCTTATCTCGCATGTCAACAAAGGAGAACCCTAATGGGAGAGAGGGGGGGGGGAAAAAAAAACTTTGCCCAAGTGCCTGGCTACTCAGAGCATGGAAAACCCTTGTTGGACACATGGTGACATGAGCATTTCCCATGCAACCGTTGGATGCACACAGTTCCAGCCACAAGTCATCGTAACACCTTCATAAGTGGCTCTTTGCCTGGCAGTTTGGGTGCCAGCAGGGAGTGCAGAGTCCAGTCCAGTGAAGTGAAGGTACACTTGCACAAGGCACACCTTCTGCCCTGGGACCTAACGAGGCTCAGGAGCAGCAGGTGGCACAGCACACTGGATGCACAGGGCTAGAACTGTCATTACCCAATTAAAATAGAACAACGACAACAACAAAAAAAAAATAGGCAGATTAAAAAATTAAAATGTGCTTTTGATACACGGAATGAAGTCAAATAAATACAATGATTTTTTTTTTTTTTTTTTAAATGTCTAAATACATTTTTATATCCTACACCCAAAGCTCTGTACATTTGGTTTGGTTTTTCTGTTCTGAAAAAAAAAAAAAAAAAAAAAGAATTTCTGGTGGCAAGGAGAGGAGGAGTAGAATAGAACAGACTCCCTCACTGACAAGATAGTGCAGATGCCCCACAGGAAAAGCACCCATGCCCGCTTTGCTAGAGGATGGTCCACGTTTGGATGGTCTGAACCCTCTTGTCTTAGAGTCCACAAGGAAGGCAGCAGGTGCTGAGTCCTGATAGTCCTCATCCAATCTTCAGTTGTCCTGAAAACACGACTAACTTTTCTCTGATGGAGGAAAATAGAAAACAACAGTGGTGAGAAAAGGAAAGGTGCAATGAGAGATGAATGTCTGGTGTTTCTGAATGCTAGCACTAGCACCAGCAGAGAAAGCATGTCAATGTGAGAGAGAGCGCACACATTTAACCTGAATACCAGCAACTACGTAGTGCCAGAGGACTGGCCACTCAACCCACAGCAGCCAATTCACACAGTGCCAGAGACATCCCAGAGAAAGACTGGAATCATTTCACATATTGAGAAATCTCTGTTTGGGAGTTTACATTGATTCAGCCTTCTTGAAAGAGAAGCTGCACGTCCTTAGATGGAGGTACTGGTGAGACAAGCTCCTCTGCACTTGTGAGACTCAATGGATTGAACTGACCTATCTTGGAACCAGCACCCTGTTAGAGACGCTGAAGCAAATGAAATCTTTTTTTGTGTGTGTATGAAACATTAGTAACTGACTGTGCACTCTTTGGTTAATGTCTGATGTCAGTGTGCTTTACACTGCCTGTTCCAGAAGGTCATACCTGAGTGCTCTCCTGTGGAGGCTGACCCAGCCAGCCCTTGGCGACGGAGAATGATGTAGTCTTCCTCAACCTCCTGAAAAACAAAACAAAAACACACCTCAAATGGCTTTTTTTCCTCTTTATCAATTGAATGAAGAGGGCTTCAAATGGGAAAAGATACGTTGCACTGCAGCAGAGTGGACTGGAATCATTCTTGTGACCCACACTGGATCTCAAGACCTTCAATCAGCCTTCCCTTCCCACACAATATTCCATCTCCTCTTCACATTCGAGTTCAATTAAAGACTGGCTACAAACTTAACAGGTTGGTCTGCCTTACACACCAGGATGCTGTAACTCCTCTACAGCAAATGCTGCGTTGTATGGACAAATGCTCAAAACATACAAAAAATTATTCTGGATATAGTAAGCTGAAAACTTTGTTATTATCCTACTGCAACTTAGCACCTCCTGCTGAAGGCAGCAGCATGCAACAAGAGCCAACAGACATTTGTATGTCAATAATTCGTACACATCAGGTCAGAGGTCCCTTTGAAACCTCCCCATCACACACATGCACTTTTGTCCTGTCCCTGAAGAATGGCTCCAAACTGAAACCAAAACAGCACGCACACCTCCTGCTTCCAGCTGAACTGCTGGCTTCCTGTAACCCCACAGTGCAATGCAAGCAAATGGCACCGAGTTCCTCCTTCAAAAGCTTCCAGAGGGAAGAGCCAGAGACTGAAAAAGGCATGATCTCCTACCCCAGAATTGAACATTTTCAAGTTATTTTCTAAAACAAGGTCTAAGAAATACAAAAAGAGTGAATAGTGCAAATAGAAACACAGTACCTTTAACTTTTCAAGGTCATTCTCTATCTTCTGAATATACTGCATCATCTGCACGCGTGACTCTATAGACCAGAAGGGAGGGTTTGCTACAACCGTGCAGGGCTCTTCCACTCCTCCCCAGCGGGAAACCATCATCTCCTCTGCAAAAGGGGAGCTCCCTCCATCCGACTGCGTGTCCCGTGGGGAAAGGGGCTGCTGCTGTGCAGAGTCCAAAGAGGTGTGGCCACCTGCAGCACCCTGGAGAACCAGAGATGACACCTCCTCATCCGTGGAGCTCTCCTGCACTGCTTCATATCCATCAAGGATCAAATAATTTCCTGTTAAGAGAATAGCTTTTTACTCACACCTCGGTGCCATCACCACTGAGAACCACTGAACTGTAGACAGTTTAAGCAGACTTTAAGGAAGACAAGTGGGGAGAGGTCCATCTCCTGAGACATTTTAAAATGGATAAGAGAAAGCATTTGTGAACACTATGCAGAATGGTGATTGCATTAGACCAAACTATAGTTTGGTTCTGAGCTGAGCTCTGCAGATCACGGCTGATTTGGGGACCACAGCTGGACAATGATGTGACCAGAGGAGCTTCTTCACCTCCCCTCCTGCATTCCCCAGCTCTCTGCTTCCAGCCTGAAAATCCTGCACATGTACTCACAGCACCCACCCAACCAAACCATTTCTGACCTGCATTGAGCACGCCTGTAGGTGGGTTAGCTTTAAAATCCAGCTTGCTGAAAATACGTTAAAAGATAATGCAGTTACAGACAGAAACGCAATCACAAACTGTACCTAGCAATAAAATTACATTTAATAATTTCTCTGCAGCATTACAGCAAAGCTTGCATGTGAAAGCAGAACTGACTGAAAACAGGACAATCTGATTTTGATGTCCCTATACAGTTAAGAAAGTAAACAGCACGAGTGGTGACAAGTAATTAGATGCTTCAAGTTGTTGGCTTGCTTTTAATAATTTAAAATGTTTCTATAATTCAGGGAAAGACAAACGATTTTCAATGCACACTTGGAAGGCAGCATTTGGACAGTCACAAATTGGCTTATGAAGAATCCAATTTTTAAATAAAAGCATATTCTCAGATAAGAGATATAGAATCTACTACCTGTGAGTGCCTCCTTACACCACAGCACGCATAGGATAAGCTTGTGTGCTAAATTTAGTGCAGGGTCACCACTTTGGCTGATCAAAATCACAGGACTTTCCAAATGCAAAGTGTGCAAAGTCCCATGAAGGTGCTTACAGCTGCTGCCTTCGTGCTGCCTTTCTGCTGAGTTAACAGCTCCACAACCTTCTTGAAGGGTAGAAGAGAGAGGTTTGGAGATGCCAAATATAGCATGTGTAATAATAACGGAAATAATAATAAGCTTTTAAGAGCTTCAGACTGGGGTGAGGTCGCTGGAGACAATTGCAGTGCCAAGCTGAACTGGAAGTTTCTCTTCCCAAGCTCAATCATGAGAAGCCAAAGCAATAGCTACAAAATAGCCTGAGCCACGGCTCTGTGTATGGACTAAAGCAATGCTTTGCCTGCAGGGAAAATATTTTTCCTACAGGTTCCAACCGTCAGCTGAGAGATAACACGGTCCAGTGGCAATAGCAATCAAGAGCTTGCATTGTGCCCAGGCCTCTGTAAATACAGTTTGTCACAGTGTATTAACCCCACAGGATTTTGGTTTCTTCTTTCATAAAATAGGAAATTCATTAGGTACATGTTTGCTCAGCTCTTTTCTGTGCTAAAATGACTGTCAAGGACTAAAGAACTAACTTTAAATAAATGTCCTAAATCGTATCAGCAAGAGAAGCTTCACTAGGAAAACATACTGTAGTTTTCTTTAGTATTTCCCAATTAAAACTGAGCCAAGTCCCTAGTATTGACCTGGGAGAGGGTGCCATTCCAAGAAGGAAGGAAATAAGCTCACCTGAGATCCGTATTTGCACATCCTCCTCGTCCTTCCTTTCCATTAGCTCACTTTCAGATGGATTTTCATCACTGTGAGCTTCTCGGGCATCAAAGAAATGCTCCCCACTCTCATCAGCACCCACCCCTTCCAGCTCTGTGGCAGAGACCTCCAGACTCACACCCATGCGGTCCATCGCTAAGTTACTGCTGGGTCTGGGGTCTCTTGCTCCCAGCTGCATGGCATCCCCTGGAGTTGGTGATTCAGCTGAAGTCCGGAGGCCATAATTAGCTGTGGGCTCGTTAGTTCCGCTTCTTGGAAGCGTGGGGTCTGCTCCAGGCTGGTGAAATTTGTTATGGTTGGAGTGCTGCAGTCCAAGCTCACTTCCACTCTCTGTTTGTGCCTCTTGAGAGACAGTCCTGAACCTGGGAAAGCGCTGCCGGTCTTCGAGGGTCCCCTTCTCAGCAAAGCCAAGCTGTTGGACCAACAGCTTTTTCAGCAAGTCCACTGCAAGTAGAGATAACATTGGCAAAGCTTCACAGGCCGTGTCCTCCAGAACAGTGATCAAACTACACATAAAGGCTCATTTCAAATGAGAGATCTCGGAGCAGCCAGCCCTCTCACTGCTCTCAGAAGGGAAAGACGGGGGTGAAAATAAATAAAAGGTCTTTTGAAGCTCTGTACCAATGCCTTATTCCACATTTCACCTTACATGGAAGGGCAAACACATCAGTCCAAGCTCCACCTTGTTTGATACAAACAGAGAAATCACCTATTAATGCTGTCCAGTGAGCTGGAGGGCAGGTGAGTGCCTGGGTGTTACCCCCCTGCAAATGAACTAAAATACAAAGGCAGTAATGGGGGACCCCAACTTCAAAGTAGCACACTAAACGTGTTCCACTAGATTCTGAAATGACAGATCCAAAATTTTCCCTACAATTTCATGTAAATTTATTCTTATCTGAACTTCAACCCACATCCCTTTAGCTCTCAAATTATCCCAACCAAACACTTCATATTAAGGACACATTGTTCAGTGCAAAAATATGACGCTGTCAAGAGTGCAAATATGCTGTTCTTTCTCACCATGTAATGCTCACATAACACCCAAGAAAATCCATGGGCTCACACAACACAACAGTCCCTCAGCTAAAGGGAAAGCTCTTGTCAAAACGTGAGACCCACTGCTGCTGTCAGAGGGCTGCCCTACTGCATCTGCATGGCCAAGGGATGCTGGATCACTGATACCACCTTAACACACCCCATAGACTGAGATTCTCTTATGGCTGGTCTCTGAAAACGCATACTAAGAACATCTGTACAGCATTCAGAATTAGAAAAGGACTGTGAATCCTAGAAAATGGATCAAAAGATCTGAGGTAAACCATTAAACTGCAGAAGACTGTAATTACTTGGAGAGAGGAGAGAGAGAAAAGGGAACTGGGGCCAAGGATATGAATGCTCTGCATTCTAGTGACAGCAAATGACCCACAGAGAAGCAGTACAGAGTATTCCCTTCAAGTGCAATTCAGGGACTGCGTGTCCACTTCTGAATTGCCAGGGAGAGATGCACGGATTAATGATTTCATTCAAATTTTAGGAAGTTATATTTAGAAACGCAAGGAATTAGAATGCTGGGTCTGATCAAGTGGGTTGCACAGCCCTGCGTTCTTCCTCTGAATAAAGGTAGACCACAGAACAAGAGAATGCTTGAGAATCTTCCAAATAAAAAATTTTACAGAATTATCTGTTCATCAGAACAAACTGCTTTCAGCACAGACAAGTACCAATCTGATCACACCCAGCCAGCACCCAAATCCTCTGAAAATCTGAATCTAGACTTTGTCTTGCTCATGTTAAACATCCAACCTCATCTGCATGACTTTGCAAAAGAAATATGCCACATCACAGCCTGCAGCTCAGGCAACCTCTCCTGTTCTGCACCCCTGGTGCTGTGAACGCAAGTCCATGGGGTAACTGCAATGTCTCTGAGAAATCTGCTGACTGGCAATGACATTTTACAGCACTGCAAAGAGCTCTGCAATGTGATTTTGTCATCAAAGCACTTTGTGGACAATAAGTAACAATTCATGATTACCCTCATTTTAGACACAAAAAAACAACAGCAATGCAATGAGATGCCTGTGGCTGAAGGGAGTGGTGTACGAATTCAGAACTCAGAATTCCTTCATGTCACATCCACTCTGTTTTGCTATCATCTACAGCACAGAGAAAAAAATTATTTAATAGAAACAGGCATTAATACTATTCCAGCTCATTGATTCAGAAGGTCGACCTCAGAATTTCCACCTCCAAAGCAAGGCTCACAGGTACTTACGGTTCCTTAATGCATCCAGTGCCCACTGCCCTCCTGATACCAAAGGTAAATTGGTGGCTGTGTGTTCATAGCATGGAGAAGACTCCTTCAGGGCCAGGTCTGCCTGTTGCACTTTATCAAACTGTCTCTCTGCCACAAGAAGACTTTCCACCTCAGACTTTTCAGACATGGTGGGTGAAGTCTGAGCATTCAGTATCAGTGGAGAGTCTAGGCCCAGATCTTTGTCTAGAAAAAAGAAAACGTGTTCAGGTTAAACAACTGCGTCAAATTTGATGCTAAACTGCAGAAAATTCTCATAATCTCTGAAAACACTAAAAAACAGTTTTTGAGCACAGCTTTGGTAAAAGGCTGTTCATTTCCAGGGAGAAAAACAATCTTCTTCTGTGATTTGTAACGGGAATAGTAAGAGGTATTTATCCAGGAGCTTCAGCATCATTTCTTTACATGACTTGTAAAAAAAATTGTTCCATTCCACAAAGAAGTCAGTGCTACCAAAAGAGCCCCAGGACACAAGGAACATGCCTTGGCACATTTGCACTCTGTGTATCAAATTTACTGACAGCCTTTACCAGGACTGCTGTGTTACCTGGGCTTTGCAGGCTACTGGCAGGAATGTCATGCTGGTCTTTGAGCTTCTGCTGCTCCTCTTCTTCACGCTCTTCTCTGCAGGGAAGAAAGAAACAACATGTACTTTTAGTCACCTGTATCTGAATGCTGCATGCCAATCACTGCTCTGGCTGACACAAGATGGGCTGCTGGAGAAAGAAAAGCAGCCTTTCCTCCTCCAGCTGCTGTTACTTACTCGCCAGGTCCCGACTGTGGTAATGGAATCACTCTTCTGCTACTCTCCATTTTTACATTCCCTGCCATCTGAGCTATGAGGTCCTGCCATCTGCATAAAAACATCACATAAAAACACGCAAGATGTGAAGCATAACGGATACTGCTCCATTTAACACTTTTTAAATCCAGCTAATACAATTACTGCTTTTCTTATCAACAGAAACGTCTAATCCTGTTGTTCTTTTAAATCCTGTTACAGTCAGTGCCTCTGTAATACCTTGCAGCCACAAGTGAAGCAGCACAGCACAATGCTCACCTCACCAGGATGCTCCAGCAGAAGGAAATGAATGACAGAACCTTAGCAGGAGCTGTCGAGTTATATTTATGTATAAATATAAATGCAAGCATTATGTAACCTTTCACGTAGCACTGATTAGTTTAATACACTGCAAAGTACAACGGTTGCTACACATCATACAAATAATCTCAGGTAACTCGTGAACACCTGCACAGTTACTACACATAATCAGATACAAAAGCTCTCACAAGTCCAACGAATCAAACAGCAGATGGAACTGGACCAATTACTTACACGTTCTTTTCTGAAACTGTCTGTGCCACCAGCTCGTAAATGTGAGCACCATTTTCTGACATGGAGATGACGAAGAAAGCTTTGTTATCTGGAGTAACACAAAGAGGGAAGCATTTAATTGCAGGCCTAGTTCTGCATACCATTCTGACATTCCTAGAACTGAACATTACCCCCATCCAGAAGCAGTAAAAGATCATGAAATAACCCTTCAGTGGTACTGTACACAGAGAGAAGTCTTTCCCTGTCCAGGAAATCTGACTATTAGTCCTGAAAGAAAAGAGCCACTTCTGCCCAAGCTACTTTGAAACACATTCACCACTTCTCTTTTCCCTCATAGTGATTTTTATTTCTAGGGAACCTTTCATCTAATAAAACCAGACTACTTGAACACAGAAGTCTATTTATAACTCAAGCCATGCCTAAAAAGGTTATTACCAATGCAGAGAAGTTAAACAGCTCACGCAGTGCTATGAACAAGATGTTGGACAACCAAGAATTAAGCCTACGCATTTTTCCACGTTCAACTCTGGAACTCTAGACAAAAAAGCCTCTCCTCGACTGATCTAATCCCCACTTTTGTTGTCCTCCTTTGCTTTCATAGTTGGTTCCACTGACCTGTTGCCACCTGACGAACCAGAACAGTGTTCAGTTTGATGATAGGACTGAAGGTGTGCTTGCTATCAGCTGTCGATGCCAAGATTTTACTGTGACACTTCAAGACCAGCTTATCATCTTGTTTCTGCAACAGCACCAGAATGTCCTCCAAGAGCAGAGTGTAGAGATCTGCACAGGGCGCAAAAGAACCCAGAACGAGTTAAAGATTCATGGTTTTCTATCACACCCCTGCAGAAAGAAAAAGGCTGCATTTTTGATTACTCATGCAGAGGCACTAATCAGTGCTATGCCATTCTAGGCAAAGCTTGCAAATCTTTCTCATCAAAACTACAGCAGAGAGCTACAGATGGGATTGGATCATCTCACGACTGACTGCTGTGTCCCTGCAAGGCCTTAATGATACTCCAGCACATTTCAGAATTGACAAGAGTGATTTAATCAGCTTTGAGAAACACATACACATCATTATAGGTGGCAGTACGAATCATAATTGGAAACTGCAGAAATGCTTTCTCTCTCCCTCCCTCTCTCAGCAAGCACACATAAACTCAACCCCACATCAGCTGACAAGGAAAACTCACCGATAGTTTTGTCACGATTAACCTTCCAAGTCAAAGGTCCTTCATGAAGCATTTTTCTCTTTGTGAGATCCAAGTTCTGTCAGCAGAAGGAAGAAAAAAAGGAGGAGCACTATGAAATGTCTAGGAAAGCAAGCAGTGGTAAAGCACAGGAGTTTCAGAGGGAAGGTAACCCATAGGTGCTTTAGTTTGAACAGCTAAACCCAGCGTGGAAAAAGAACCATGGAGCAAGAACAAGGCATGCTTGTACATCAAAATCTTGTGACAGGTGTCTTTTGTCACTCTTCCTCATTCATTGATCTTTTGATGATGTTTCAAGTGACTACATGGCGAATTTTCCTTCTAAGCAAAGTTCTTAAGGCATTAGAATGTCATCTGATTTCTAGGAGTTTTTGCAATAGCCCATACAAAGTCTGCAGTTCCAGTATTACAACTGGTTAATGCTTCAGCACTCTATTTGCAAGTCAAGTATGCCCACGAATGACATACTGATATAAAAAGCATTCCAATGATCTGATGGACTTTATAATGTCAATGGATTCTTCAGTCATTTCAGTGCTTGTGACATTTAGATCTGCAGGCAAGTAGAAGTGACAATTTTCACAAGTCATTCCTTCCAAGTCTCAGTCTACAATCAATAACAGCAAGCTTTCATAACTGCCAGTAAGTTCTTCATTTCCTAACTAAATGCTTGTGGGTTTATTTGTGGAAGATTACAGGATATAGTTTTATAGGGAAGTCATCACATAAAGATTTCTTTGAATACACACCGACTTTGGAGAATATAAAGGAGCGATAAATAAACAACACAGAATCTCTAAGTGAGACTGGCACAGACAGCAGTCAAAGTATCAAATCATCATCATCCACTTGGTATCTCACTAAGCTTTCAAGCTCCACCAGCACTCCTATGTGCAGAACCACGTTGTTACATCCACAGAGATCTTCATGAAGATAGCAAAACTAAATATTTATCTCCAAAGGCCATTTGATTGTGCATCTGAAGATGCAATAGAAAGAGCCACAAACGGAGCAACGGTGCTGCAATCACAATGCACAGAGCAATTGCTTCAGTGCTGCCACTTACCCTGAACTCATCCATCATGGGATCCTCAGACTGCTTTAAGTAGGACAGGTCAAGACGACGCTGATAATCTTCCAGATGCTGCAAGAAAAAAAAACCAAAACCAACACAACAAACCATTGCAAATGGTCACTTTTATTAACAGAACTCACTAGAGTCAGAGAGCAGACAGTCACAAATATTTCTCCGTGTTCCCAAATGCCTGGGATTCCTGTTCTCATACTAGTGTATGGAACTCTTGTGCCACACAGCACCTTTAAGCACAATATACGGTCACTTGTGCAGAGATTCCAGCCATGTTACACAGCTTGCTTCCCTTCACCTCCCTCTCTTAACCCCGACCATTGGTGCTAATCCAGTTCAGCTCCCACCTGCTTGTTCTCCGATTCCTTGACAGCCTGGTTCACGTGGTTAAGGACCTGACGGCAATGATCTGCTGCTTTCTTCACCTTCTCCTTCTCTTCAGGCAGTTCTGCAAGAGAACAGGGAAATGCAATAACTCTCTCTGATAAAGGATTAAGAGGCCACAAATGTCATGCTGCTTGCTGACCGCAAACAGGTTCCAAAAAACATCCTCCTGCTACAGCAACAGCATGCAGCAGTTACCTTTCCAGCCAGCCTCTAGATCATACAGACAGACACAGGTGAGCCCCATCAATTCTCACCAACACAAGCCACATTATGCATGTAGTTAACCGGCAAATAAACAAGTTCATCAAGGGTAATGGAGTGTCACACGCTTTCTTAATTATGATTAGAGTGACTTATAAATACAGTATATTTTTTGCAAGTAATGAAATTACACTGCAACAGTTATCTGCTAGTAAACTTGAAAAGGCATTTCATGGTCTTATGAATCCTTTTTGTCTGTTACACTGGAAATGACTTTCAGTGTGGCACACAGCAGCTGAACTCAAACCTCTGCAAGAACACAGTAATGTTCTGTTAGTGCTGCTCAGATGTGACACTTGATGAAAGCTGCACCAGGATTCTGTTGGCCTCTATAATGTGGGACAACGATTTTTTCCCCAAGTTCGAACTGCTTCAAGTTCTTAGTTAATATCATATGAATGGCCTTCCAGTTTTTTTTATATGAAGTTGATTTTATATCAGACTTTTGGGGCGTAGGTGAGATGGAAATCTAAGCACTCTTTCTTCCCTCACCTATTGGGAATTTGAATAAATTCTATGGAGAACTGATCAGAACACCACAACCCTTTGGTCGATAACATGGAAATCTTGACCTTAAAAGAAAACAATCAATTTGTTCTGCATTATCTACTCTTTGTTCCCTTCTTCAGAAACTTGCCGATTTGCATCAGCCTCAGCACTGCATGATTTTTGCTTAGATTTTATGATACTTTTATTTTTTTCTTCCTTGCTCAGAACTATGTCCTACATCCATCCACGCTCGTTTAAGTAACTGCATAACTTGATGAGTTTTTATTAGATTCTTCTTTCTTCACATTTTTATGTTGGCAATGGACGACCAGGGATTTCTGTTATTGGAAGATCTTATTCTTTTTCTCTCTCTCAAGTGCATCTACATGGAAATTGGAATTCATTTAAATGTGTTTTCTCTTAATAGCCTGATTAGCTATCTTAGTGTGCTAAAGAAGAAAGAAAAAATATGTTTTTACAGAGCATATTTATTACTGAAAATCAATTTACTGAAACAAATGAAGTATCATCTTCAGCGATTGAATTCTTTCCAGTTATTTCCTTCAAAACTGTAGAAAGGTGTTAAACATGCCTACAAAATTACAGAAAGAACAAGCATGCTAATGACTACTCAAAAACAACAGCACAGAGGCAACCTGCCTCTCTGTCAGCTCAAGTTTTAGTTTATCAGAACAGGAATAAGGAAGAGTTAAATGACACTCGCTCTTTTTCCTCTATTTGTCTCCTGAATGTAATTCCAGCTACTGACATTGCTGTGTACTCACATACCATCAAAATGTGAGTGTACAGAAGAAACATTTCCTTCAGTTTAGTTGTCACAACGATTGAAAACAGGTAATAATGGTAAATAACAGCGTAAAATTAAGAAGCAGCCCAAGAACTGGAGGAAGGGAAGAAGACTGTCAGGAATTCCAGTTTTCCTTCTTCAGAAACTATCAGCAAATCAAAGTGCTTTGTCAGTAATTTCATGAGGAGAGTGGTTCTATCTTCAAAACTTCAGCTTCCACCCCTCAAACTTGTCAAGACTAAATTTAAATGATTACATATATAACTCAACACAGACTGCCATTCACCTATTCCAAACTAAATCCCCCTGCCCTTCTTATTTTTCACGAGAAGGAAAATGAGTTTGAGAAAAAAAAGAGACTGGATTTTTTAATTCTACATATTTTGAAAGAATTTATTTAACCCGTCCTCCTGTGAGGAAGGCAGCAGCGAGATCACAATGGTGACCTGTAAAATTCAACTGTACTTCAGTCCATGCAATGAAATCACATTTGCTTAGCAAACCTGCTGAGACACAAGCACCAACCACTGGCTACCTGGTAGAAATGCTTTACCTGTGTACTTTGCAATGTTATCCAGCAGAAGGGGGTACTTTGTCAATCTCTGCATCTCTGTTGGAATGATATCCTTCAGCTGCAGGCGGCGACACAGGGGATTACTCTCAGCATCCTAAAATTAAACAGCACAATAAGTACGTTTGTCATTTTTATTAAGACTATAATTACCTGAATGTGTAACATCTATTCATCACGTAAACGTCTATTACTTCACTTTCTGGTAATTAAATACAAGACAAGAAATGCCAAGATCTATCATTCAGACAATACATCCCTTCTCGATTTGCAATTACGTATAGGAAGGGTTCACAAAGCAGTGGCTTCCTTCCCTCATTACTGCACAGAGGCCTGGCAGCATCTCCAATCAATCTCAGTCACTGCCACACAGGGAAGATATCAGTTTAGCCCTTCATGCTATAGCAAAACTACAGTACATTTTTCAAAATAACGTCAACCTTTGTATTACTGCAGTTCTTCCCAGCTGGTGGTAATGAAGATAATGTTCTCCTCTCCAAATGCCAGAAGTATTCAAGCCCCTTTCCTGGTGGGCAGAATAGGTTTACAGTATCTGTATATCTGTCTTCTGACTTTGGTATGCATCAAAATTGCACTGCTATAAGCAGTTTTTCTCAAAGAAGTACTCATCCTTGGGAAACAGCCACCCAAGTGAGATGTGATGCTGCCTGGGGCAGCATGTGCTTTCCTTCATTCCAGCAGGACATTGTGTATCGCAATCTGAAGACAATGTGAAGTGCAATCTCATTAACTGTAACAACTTAATCTAAAGCCCTTCACTATCCCACACCAGCAGCTCAAACCCTGGCATAAAATTCACCTGCACGAAAGTCTGGAAACGAGAGTCCTTCTTCTGACGGGACTTTATGACCTCCAGAGCAAAGGGCTGGTTACTGCAGAACGTGGCAGTGGCATGTTTCAGCTTCTCCTCTGCTGCTCCACTGAACTGTGCCAGAAAGTCATGAAAGCCAAAATTAGACAGACCTAACTTCAGCATGAGCTGCTGTCAACAGACATAAAGCCATGTAGCACCACTGGTCTCAGAAGGGAAGGGAGGAATAATAGCAAAAGAGGGGGGGGAAGACAGGAGGAAGAGGGGAGACTTACAACAATCATCAAAGCATGTTACTGATGGCATTATCCAAATGCTCCTTTAATGCAGACAGCCTGGAGACATCAACCACCTTGCTAGGAAGTCTAACGCCCAGGCTGAACCTCCCCTGGCACAGCTTTCTGCCATTCCTTGTGTTCTATATCTGACAAGTTACTTCAGTGGAATACATCATTTTAAACATTCTGTTTTTAAGCCTTTGTTTGTCCAGCCTATTTAGAAGCTCTGCTATGTGTAAACCCTACAACTCTCCTGTCACCACTCCCAGCATTTCCAGTTCTTTCCACAAATGCACTGCAGATTCAGGGAGAAAATTCAGTCCCCCACTGTTAGCTGTAAGAGAAGTGCAAAAACAGCACTCAGATGAATGACCAGTGATTATTTACCAGACTCTGGTCAGCAAAGCCAAGACCAAAGATCCTGTTTCTTCAGGATTAGCCATGCTTAAAGACAAGATGATAAGAGAAATATGGCTAGGGAAAATGATAGTCACAAGCAGAGCTGAGAAATGTGCTGCAGATGACAGACAGATACACTATCACTGCAATTCTTCCCATTCCTACTGCCCAATCAGTGATGCAGCAAAAGCAACTCCTGAAAATACTCACTCTGGAGAATGAGATTCTAGTTTGATTTTTGTGTTTTAGCCACTTAACCAGACACCAGTCAGGGACGTGGAACGATCACACTTGTAAGGTCTAGCTTGCTTTAGCTTGTTCATAAACGAATGCACAGGCTATTTTTTGCTTTTCATTAACACACAGGGGAGAACTAAAAGAGGTTTTTCACTACCAGCCACATCTGATTTTCATTTTCTTCCCTTTTTTTCTGGGATACGAGACAAACGGCAGGATTACAAAAATATAAATCACAAGAGACTTCTGCATGAACATCTGAAAAGAATAAGCAGATCAATCTTCAATCCCATATTAAGTCGGCTTGAAAACAAACAACAAAACAGGAGACTCCCAGGAGAGACTAAAAAAACCAAAGAGATTCTCACTCCTGCTCCCATCGTTTGGATCTCAAATTTGAAATAAAGCCTGCAACAGCCCCTGTAAATTTGAAGAGGCTCAGCTATGCAAATATGACTGGAAATCATGATTTTAAAATATCTTTAACTGCACCAAAGGTGACGTAAGGCTTATTTCAATATTATTGTAGTAAATTGTGCTATTACATTTCTCAAAATCCTTCTCTCATTTTTATGTCTTCAAAACTATGTTTCTATTTTACCCGTGCAAATGTTTTTTTCTTCTTTTCTCCTACCTCTTGTCAAATGAAAATCCCTTGAGTTGTTTCTCTAAACCTCTTTCCCTAGCTCTTTGTTGGCTCCACACAAATAACAGCTCTCAGACCTTCAATTCCCATTAGCTGGGAATTACCTTCATTAGCCTCTGGCACTACAGGTCACTTTCTGAAACACATTTTCAAGAATAAAAATGGAATTTACCCAAGAAAGCAAGTCCTCCCCAATTTGGTCAATAACAGAAGTCTCATTCCTTTTCCGGACCGCTTTCATCTGATCATTCAATGCGACTTAGAAAAAAAGAAAGAACAAAATTTTATTAATACCATTTGCATGCTTAATTTTCCTTACTTTCCATTTCTTTTAAAATAAAACTTCTTCTAAGAAAGGACTAAACTTGCAATAATTCCAGCTATGTTAAAAAGGTTTCCTGCAATGTAATGAATTCACTAGAATTTCTAAGAAAACGTTACATCCCTCCTTCGCACTTCTCTCTCTCCTGTCTTTAAATGACCTCTAAGAACTTTTCCAGTCTTGTCTTTTCTGAGGCTCAGTATCACTGACCTTTTAAAAACCCAGGCCTCATGCAGAACATGCTTCAAACCACCAGCCTAAACAACTGCCTTTACAACTGATCATTCAGTGACAGAGCAGAAATTGTGATTCTGAGCAGTCCTTCCTCTAAACAATTAGAAAGGGTGATCCTTCAAAACCACCTGCAAGACATCAATCCTTCCATGGTTTTTTCATGTTTTCCTCATCGACAGCTGTAACTTTCTGAACATTACCCTACAAAGACTATTCATCAAAGTACTGCTGTTTTCATCAAACATGAATGAGCACAAGAGTCTGTGTACACTGATACAAAAAAGCAAGCATCTGAACTACTGAGCACACGCTTTCTTCATCAAAATACCTTTGCAAATCAGAAAGGGGAAAACTGTGTGGAGGGGAGAAGTGCTGTGTGAGGCTGCCTCTCGTTTTAGGGTACCTGTGTCAGTTTTTCTTAGATATTTGTACCCTGAATTCCAGCTCAGACTGCAAAGCCAAGAAGCACCTCAGTCACTCTTACCATGAAGCCCCAGGATATCTTCCAGATTTGAAAAGATCTTCCTTTTGTCACTGGAGTTGAGGATCCCTTCCCGGGTGACACGCTGATAGAAAACGTTGTGCAGAACCTTCAGGGTGCGGACGTGAGCTCTCTCAGTGTAAAACAACTCTGAAGAGAGAGAGGAAGGCAGGATTGTAACCACTGACCTCAACAAGTGTGACAGTGTGGACTCAAACGTGAACCAAATACAAGTCAGAAGTGTGAACTTGCAAACATCTCCCTCATCTACATTCCATATTCCAAGCTGCTCCACAATGGTGCCACACTCTACTATGCTTCCGAGAAACAGAGAAGTCAATTGATTCACGACTCAATTTACCCTACACAAACAGTGAGCTCCTAGAGGCTGGTATTGGCTGCTCAGAGTGCTCTGCAGGATTGTAAGACCTGAAATTAAAATGAAGTTTTGCAGATGAAGTTTGACAATGGCTGCACTGTATGTGTTTTCCAGCTGCCTAGACAGTGCCTTTCACTTTCTTTTACAAAACGTGATACTGCAAACTGGTTCTTCAGTGTCAGAACACTGAAATATTAATTATTTCTCCTCTAAGGACAGTATCCAGTATCCCTGGATACATTTCAGTAACCAATACAGTTCAGTTCACAAACACGAACTCCTCAAACCCAAAGCAACACATAGCACTACACTGGACAAATTGGTGACAAAAGACCTCGTTTTAGATTTTAACAGCTCTGAAGGTCTGCATGACAAGATTTCAACTTTCTGTTTGGTAAGATAGGAAAAAAACATCCATCTCACCATTAATCACTTCTTGCCTCTTGATCTCGTAGGGTTTCAGTCCCATCAACACTTCTCGGCTCACAAGCTGCTGCCAGTTAGGGGGGTCTGTGTCCATGTCAAAGTCATACAGCTCATCTTCACTTTGTACATCTGCAAAACCAACGCTGTCCATCCTAACGAGAAAAAATATGCCACATCACTCCCATTTCAAGCATGGATACAAGAAGAAAGAAAAGAAAAAAATCAAAGTATACATAGCAGTTGTAAAGCATTACACAAATATGCTCTCTAATAAGCTGCTCCATGTCTGAAGCTACGAGAATGTTTTGCAATTTTGCCCTTTACAGAACTAAGAGTGAATATCTGTTCTTGCAGTATTTTCATAAATCTCCTTCCAGTGTTACAGAAAAATAATTTGCTTAGGGTCAAATAGCAAGTCAGAGAAAGGGCAAGTCACTATTTCTTTGCAGATACACAGCTAACATTTAAAAAGAAAACCTGAGAATCTCAATTCCATCACCCATCAATTCCAATCAGCAGATGTAGCACTTACTGTATTTCACTCATTGAGCAAAGGGTTTATCTGCATACGATCTGCTCCACCTGTCCTATGCACAGGTGTTCCATGTCATCCATATGTTACTTAAGAACACGAAAGATAACGCAAGAAATTGTACTGGCTCAGAACAATGAACACTGCATTCTACTTCATAATCAATTAAAACGTCAATCAAATCAATTAAGTTGAAACAGTTTTAAGCATACTTGCGAAAAGGCTTTGGTGTCCCCATGTCGACCACTCTGCAAAGAAAGAAAGGAAGTATGAGGGAACCATGCTTGTAGCTGTCCTACAGCCACTGCCACATCCCGATCACTGGGGCACCACAGTTACCTCTCTGACTCTCCCTCCTCCTCTGGCAAGTTTTCCAAGGGAGATGGGAATTCAAAAGTAGTATTGGGTGTGCGGGGTGTGCCATCCACACACTCATTAGCAGGTGGGGCTTCTCCTGTCTGCTTTGAGCCTGAGAGGGAATGAATAAGAAACGTCAAGAAACATATCAAATTGGAGTACATTAGAGTATATCTTCACAACCTCTTCACAGCCTCTTCATTCACAGCCTCATTCCAACTCAGAGCTAGAAGAACTGAATTTGTAAGTTTGGTAAGAATAATCTCAATTAGGTATGTTTCCAGGCAACACTGATTTGTGCAGGCAGGCACCTCAGGCTGTTTTTTTTCCCACTAGATGATCCAGCAACACCATGATAAAAGCCACCAGACAGTAATTTTTGGCCACGGTAAGATTTCCTGACTTGATCAAGAACCAAGACTGAAAAGATGACTGAGCACTCAGGAAGATTATGTGACGTAAACACATCTTCATTTCTCAGGTTCCCTGCATTGGAAGTGTGCTTTCCATATACCACTCCACATACAACTTAGAACAGTCCCTCTGCAACAGTATCATCCTAACCTGATTCACTGTCCTTGTTTCCCTCTGGAGATGAAAAAGGACCCACTGCCAAAGGAGACATTGGGTTGGCAGGTGGGTATGGTGCATCTGTGCCATCACTGGAGGACCCACTCTGGCGCAGCTTGCCTGAATCTGGAGGCTCTGGGCTAACAGAAGGCACTGCAGGGATGTGCTTTTGGTGCCGTTGCTTCTGTATCTCCATGGCTCTGCCAACTAAATAAACACAGAGTTGTTACACAGCTGAAAGAGCTTTTACCTGCTCCCAATAGTCAGAATTAGAAGTATTTTAGGACACTAACATTAAATATGTTTTTAAAGATAAATCTTAATTTAAAAAAGAAAATTCTGCTGAGTCTTTTTAGTGCTTTCATATTTTTTTTTGTGAGTATTTTGTTTTCTTTTTAAAGACAGAGTCCATTTGGTTTTCAAGCTCATACTTGGGGTGCACACATTTCCTTATCTGACATACTTGCACTGCTGTCATGTCGGCTTGGTCTCCTTGGTGGGCCCAAGAGATTAGGAAAGCCTCTCCTCTTTCCTTTTTCATCTCCTTCTTTCTCTTTCTTGATACTCTGCTGCAATAACACAGAGGACAGAAGAGCAAAGCAAACAGGTAACTCATTTTTTCAGATTCAGTTGTTTACTGAGGTATTGACTAATTATTTCAAATAGCAGCAGCAGTTTTGTACAAGTTCATTTGTACCAACTTATTCAGGGGTCAGCATCCTGCAGCATAACAGGCACAGAGAGCACGAGCAGCTTATGAATGGTGTGTAACAGGGTTAGCAGCAGGGAGTCACAGCATCCTCAGAGATGCATCTGTTAAAAGCAAAAACTCACACCCTGGTTTTAACTTAGCAGGAGCTAAAAAACACTCTCCTTCCTGGGGTAAGAGACACATTTACAGCAACCAGCAGCGCCTTGTTTCTCTAAGGAAAAACATCTTATGACTCCAAAGCTCCACAACCATATAGATTCTAATCTGGGAAGGAGAAATACAACTTAGCATACCACTTCAGAAAGGCTGCTAATGCTCCATCTAACCTTTTCACACTGTCAGTGCAGAACTGCTTATGACAGCCCTAACATTTCAAAGGAAGATGGAACGCTGATGAAAATATACAGTTACTGAGAGCAGACACATCCCCATACTGTGAGAGATGACTGCACACACCCACAGAGATGGAGTCTGGGTGAGAGAACTCATTATTAGGCAAGTTTCTTAAGACAAAAATTGAACTATACTGACCAATAGCCTGAATAGATGTATCTGAAAACATATGTATATATGTAACATATGTAACAAGGGTAGATAACAGCAGGACAAAAGGAAATGGTTTTAAGTTGAGAGAGGGAAGATTTATGTTGGATATCAGGGGGAAGTTCTTTACAGAGAGAGTGGTGAGGTGCTGGAACAGCTGCCCAGAGAGGTTGTGGATGCCTTGTCCCTGGAGGTGTTCAAGGCCAGGTTGGATGGGGCCCTGGGCAGCCTGGTCTAGTATTAAATGGGGAGGTTGGTGGCCCTGCATGTGGCAGGGGATTGGAGATTCATGATTCTTGAGGTCCCTTCCAACCCCAGCCATTCTGTGATTCTGTATAACCCAATCAGAGCTGTTAGGTTTTCTGTGAAGCTTGATAATCCTAGATGCTCTTGGCGCAACGAAGGCACTAAAAATCATACCAACTTGGTATCATACAAAAGTATATTTTGAGTTCTAACGAAGCAACCATGCTGGGCAGCTTTAAACAAATGCACACTGGCTACAGCACTACTACCTTGATCTTTGGCAAGAAACCAATACGGCCACGCTTCTGTTCCAGGTTCCGAGCCTCTTTAGCTTTGACTCCCAGGTGCTTCATGTAAGTAAGAATCACATATTGTATGGTGGAGCTGCCAAATAAATACAAGGACGGAGGTTAAGGAGAAATGTACTGGGAAAAATCCATTTCGTCAAGAAAATAAAACAGATCAAATGTAAAGGTTCCATGGAGAAATTAATCAATTAAACCAGAAGCTTTTCTTTTTTTTCTTTTTTTTTTAATATGAAACTATGCATTACATGCAAATGGAAAGACTCAACTAATATTAGAATCTAATTTCTTGTAAACAAAAGATACAGTTTATAAAAGACGTACCAGCCTAAGAGGTAAAATTAAAATGTTACCAATTACACAGGTGTAAACTCATAAATTAGGCACATATCTGAAGTCAGATCATGGCTTAGAGCTACACTGAAAATCAGTACAGTAAAAGGTCTGGTTTCTGTAAGAATAGTAAAAGCTAACAGTCTGGTTGTAGGGTGTCAGATAAACTAAACGGGGCACAGCATACACAGATAATGAATGTCAGACTGGACTGAAACAACCACAGAACAAAACCAAAAGACACAGATGAACTCTCGGCAACTTTTTCTGGTGTGAATCAGACAATGAACATCAGAACAAGGAGAGTTTGAAAACAAGGGGTTGATGCTTCAAATCAGAGATAATTATGCCAGCAGATTTAGAAAGGGAGAGTCTGGAGTTACAGCCAGCAGAGGGCTGTCTTGTTTTGCTCAGCAGAAGACAGAGCCAGCAGAACCAGTATCAGCAAAAGAGTTCTTATTTCTAGGACCACACAACTTTCATTACCTCTTGTCTTCCTCCAAAGGCTGAGATGTCATCCTATGTAAAAATGCAAATGTAAATGAGAATGTAAAAAAAGAAACTCAATTAACAATTAATACACAGTCACATCTACCCAGAGTGTCAGCACTTGTGTTCAAAGTGTCCTTTGCAATATCAAAAAGCCCCAGGAAAAAGAAAAGTAAACAAAAATGAAGGTTCAGTTGGGAAAATTGGGTTCATAACAAATTGAAAGACAAACGAGGTTTCTGAAATTAACTGTTTCTACAGCCCAAGTGAAGGACTCAGATCAAATAATACACGTAACAACAATGGAAATATTGCCACTCCTATTTGAGCAGTAGCCTCCTTGAAAAGATACGGACTTTAACTAACTACTGCCTAACTTTTTGCTATAATTACTCAGAGATACATCAGTAGCAAAACAAGGAAGTAATGCAAAAGTACTGGTTAACAAATCACTTCTGTTGTAGCTCCTAACTCCTGTGCTCTGCACTTGTCAGGTTCAGGATGAAACCATTTTTACCTCTTTCAATTACACCTGCCAATACTCACAGGACTTCCTCAATTTTGGCAATAATCTGTTCTGCACATGCTCTTTCCTTCTCCACCGCGTTCCGGTCACGAACCCTTTCTGCATCCAACTTGGTCAACTCTCCCTCTGCCAGGGTCAACCCCATACTACGTTTCTGCCTGAAATACAGAGAGAAGAAAGAATCACTTCAAAATAAATACTGACCTGTAACAAGGGAAAGCAACCCTGGCATTCAGAAGGCCAAAAAGTTTGCCTTATTGGTTTTTGACATTTCTTTACAGCATTTGCAATCACTGTAAAACAGAGCTAAGATGGCCTTCAGAGGGGTAAGATTTTACAGCATTTATCAAGAGAAGTAGCTATGGCAATGACCAAGTAAAAGTGGGCATTCTTTTTGCAGCATCCAAGGTTAAATACTTGAAGCATATACTTGAATATTTTTAGCTATGAAGACGACGATTACTGAACAGATTATCTTGAGATGGTCTCTCACGCTAGCACTGCTCATGACTGCACATGAAAGGACATATCAATTATCAAATTATATGATTTGTAGATGACAGCTCTCTAAAGTGGATTATTTCTTGTCTAAAGGGGAGTAAAAATAAAAAATGATATACATTGATTAAAAATACAGTGTCTCTGTACAATGCAGAGGGATTGGACTTGATGACCTTTAAAGGTCTCTTCCAACTCAAATGATTCTACAATTCTAATAAAGATTTATGTAACAATATTAAGCAACAATATTCTAAATGTGGCTTCAATAACTTTTAGAATAAAGAATCCAGTCTTTGATATTGATCTTGCAATTGACTACATGCAGCAGTGTCAAAACACATTCAAAGACTGGTCAGAGTGAGCCCTCTCTCCAGCGCTATCTTCCTATTCAGTCCAAGACAAATGTTTCTTGAGTTTGGAATTCTTCCTTATCAGGCATGAACTAAACAAAAACTGTACAGGCAACTGCTGTTACCTGAAATCTTCCAGATTCCTCTGAACTTCTGGACAGACTTTATCTTGCATAGTTTGTATGTAGTGGCGATGAAGCTCTTCAGGAATGAGTTCTGGCCTTCTTTTCTCTGTAAGTCAGAAGAGAAAGTTAACAGATTATACTTTTAAGAAGAGAAATAGTTCACAGTACCTTAGAATAAAATCGTTCATACACAATTTAAACCATCCAAGAATACCCTTCTGCCTTCCACTTATTGATAATATGAATTTCAGTGCATTAAGTGTAAATAGCTTTGGTCACATCCAGCATTAGACTAAAAGATACACTTGCCAACATGGCCAGTTCTTCCCACCACCAATGCATCTATTAGAGCATGCACTATTGTCCAAAACAAGAATTTGTTTTGTCTCTCCTTGTAACCATACATTTGAAGCAACCCCATGGTTATTTGCTGGGACTGCCTCAAACAGTAGAAGCTGAAAAGCAGAATTTCAAGGCAGAAGTGCCTTACCTAGATCTACAGAGATTTCATCTGGTATTGGAACTTTAAGATTCTGCAAAAGAAAAGGAACACTGGAGGAATACATACAACAAGCAGCACCCCAATAAAATGTACAATACAAAGTGCATAATGCAATGCCCTTCAAACCTAAAGTCATATAACTTGAACATATCATAGGGGAGGCTTCCATCCTGAATACACACACACACATATATTATATATAATACACAAGGATGATTTCATCTAAGCAGGTGATAATAGCCTCTACAACACAACGTGGTAGTCTAAGATGAGATGGTAAAGAGGCTTTCTCAGGCTTACCAACACACATATGAAATTGCCTAACCCTAACAGACACAGCAAAACACGCAGCAGATATGAACTAAAATGCAGCGTATAACAACTAAAGCTAGACTGCACATAACCAAATTTTTCCTATCAGACAATGCATTTCCTGTGATTTACAGAATTACCAGGCAGCTGGGGCTATTTGGCATTTATTTCACTTTACTCAATGGTAATATTTTAAACAACACATTAAAATCCTTTTGATTCTTGAAAGCTTGAGTAACTCCTTATTTTTTTCCACTTCAGAGAGTAGAGAAAGGTAAAAGTCAACTTTCTAAATGTGCCTGAAAACAAAAGAAAGATCTGGAACCTACTGCAGCTCGGTCCAAGAAGAACTGGTAAAACTCCAGGAAGACACGCCGAGTCTCTTTTGCATTGGTCTGCTTGTACAAGTCTGAGTAAAGGTAGCACAACTGTGGGAAACAGGAGAAGTAATTTAGAGATACTACAACAACTCTTCTAACACCCCTAACTCAGAGCTTTCTTCATTGTCATGCAAAGAATTCAGCACCATTGATCTGAAAGCTTTCCTAGCTATCTTCAGCCAACCACAGGTAACCTCAGCTGGTCAGCTATGCTGCCACAGAATCAGTGCAGAAGAGACACAGAGATCAGACTACACAACTCAGAACTAAGGGACAGAGATCATCCCACTACCTTAGGCTGGAATTAAATGCTTTCAGAGTGAAATATTTATTTGCAAATAGCTGAATGTAATAGAGACAGTTCTCTTCATTCTTCTCCTCCTTTATTTGACATACGCTCATGCCTGCTAAGGATCTGTATTTCTCTCCTTTCCAATCCAGCAATGTTGTTGGTAATGCTACACAAGAACGAGGAGATGACACACACTGGTGTAGCCTACAAATTTTGACCAGGGAAACAATTCTAGAACATCTTACCAATGCTGCAGGGTCAAACTGGGACACCACATGGTGCAGAAGAACAGCCAGGTGAGCTGGGCGAGACTTCAGGAGCTCAATGTTTTGGAAACAACTGCATTGTCCATTTATCTGTGGAGATACATGGAAACTATTTGAATTATTCAAGAAAGCTACTGTGCAAAAAAACAAGAAGCTTCTTCCAACAGCTTAGCGATTCATTTGTTGAATTGAAATGAGAACTGATCAATTCCAGAATCTCCACAGTATCACTGTAATATCCCAGGAAGGGCTTACAATGACAACACACCTTTTAAACACATCTCTCAACGCTGAATCTAATATAATGAAATACAACTCAGAACACAGGAGAGCTAAAGTAACTCAGAATGAATATGTCAAAAGCCATGTGAGCTACACTGCTGTAACTACAGTGCAGAACAGTTAGAAGAAACTTAATAAGCAAAAGGAAACTAAATAAAGCACATAAAACTTCAAGCCTTCTTGAAATTCAAGAAGAGTAACAGAAAGAAATAAAGACAAAAATATCCAGGTGTTACCATTTGGCATCATCAGTGGTAACAGGAATCACATGCCCTAATCCTTAATTCAACATGAGAACAGTTCAATAAAATTAAGTCATGGAACACTTGCAATTAAAGCACAGAAAGACTAGTCAATGTGGGAAGAAGAGTGGCTGAGGCTACAAGTCATTCCTACCTGCTCCTGCTCAGTGTCAAAGTCATCATCCTCTGCTCCAATGATCTGTGGTCCCACACGGGATGAAGGACTTCCAATGCTGGACTGAGAATCCTGGGGTGAGTCAGGAGTGGAAGAAGGTAAGGAAGAAGAGAAGTGCACTGCAGTTACTCCCTTGGAACAGTAATCTTTCTTCACCCAGTCAAAGATACTGCTATCATTTTAATTCTCCTCAAATTTCAAGAGAAACCCAAGTGCCTTCATTCCATCTTGCACAAGCTTAGAGTTGCAAGATTCCTTTTAGCATAGATCTCCCAAATTGGAAGCATTCAGAAATGTCAAAGCAGATGACTCAAAACCAATTGCATCATCTACAGATTTCTGAGCACACTAAGCATGCAGCATATGACAAATGTCAGCTTAGTATAAATGGAGAAATATGACTTTAGAAAATCATAGAGATGAGGGAAAAATACTTCAGAAGTCATCCTAAGGAAAATGATAGCGCTTTCAACCACGTTCCATTTCTATCCACTCTTAAGGCCATAATGATCTGAAGAAAAAACATTGTTTTTCACTTAGTGTTGAATTCAGGGAATAAAACATGCACAACAGCTCTAGCCCTTTTAGGTCCAGCTGTTTTACTGCTGATTATCTATTTCTCGTCTCTAAATGGGCCCGTTCTTAAGCTCCATAAACCTTTATTCAGCTAATTAACATTCCCTGCACAACTTTAATTGCATTTCATTTTCTAATGCAAAGTTGATGGGTGCTTCATCTAAAAAGAAAAGAAAAAACATGCAAAATGGGACTATCACAGGCGATGCTGTTGTGATTCTTTAGTTTTGGACTCACAGTATCTTGAACCTCAGTCTTCTCTGGGCTCTCATCCAGATAAACCCGCTCCTTCAGGCCACTGCGAGGACTCTGGGAAAAAAGGAAGTTCAGTTCTGGTGAGTAACAGCAAATCCAGGAAAATGAGAACAGTACAGTACGTTTTTCAGCCACAACAGACAAATGTTTTCCTTTCTCTCAGAGTGAACTGTTAACCAGTTGAAGTATGAACAGGCAAACTGCACTGCTCCAAAACAACAACACACACCAACAAAAAAATCCAACAAAACAGAACAACCCAATGGAGAAGTAGTTTTATTAAGAATGTTAGAAGCAATCAATAAAGGCAGAGCTGTAAAAAAATGCCAATACACCTCTCCTTAGCTTTCTCTTTGTTCTCTCCACCTTTTACAGCAGTTTATGTAGTACTCATGCTGCTAGTTCTCTGGCTAGACCCTTTCCCATTTCCCAATATTGACAGGATTCGTTTATTAGGAAGATAGCTAGGAATTCTGTTCTGTGTTTCTTACATACAAACATGAGTGACACCTCTAATCAGATAAGGAATTGGTAGGGGAGTATTTTGAAACAGTCTTCTGTGATGATCATCATACCTCACATTCTGGAGGTACGTCTGACCCATCTTCCTATTGCTACCAACTACGAGCACAGATTTGGCTCCTACATCCTTAACTTGAACAATAAACTTAAGTCCAAGCACAGAGACTCAATTCCACTGCACTAATCAGACAGTGACTTAATTAAGGATTAGGTGTTAAGGCACTCCAATAAGGAGACCATACGAGTACAGATTGATAACTGAAGACAGAACAGACTAAGAGCTTTTACTGTTGGCAATAATTGAAGCTTATTTGGTAGAAGTAAGGCTCTTCCTCACTTTCATGGCAATGTGCCCAGTGACTGGATCTGAGTCACAGCTACCGTAATTGGAACATTAACATGCTCTTAAAAAGATACTCTAATTGGCCTCTCTCAATTTTGAGAAAGATGCTGTCATCCATCTTTCTTTGTCTGGTTACAGGGAGTGTGCCAGGAAAATCTAATCCTAGATAAGAATCCAAAGCCCACACTGTTTCTTTCCCAGTCCTTAATGGAAAACCAGTGTAGTATGGTTCCTTGGGGAAACGTTTTTGGTGAGTACTTAAAAGCCTGTTCTAGTAACACACACCCTTACTGACACATGGCACATATCTGTAATAGACAGAACATCACAAGCTTTAAAAATCTGCACAAGGAAAACAAATCCAAGAGGTATAGAATCAAGATCATGGAGCTGTACAACACTCACATCAGCAATGTCACTGTTTGGTCGAGAGGGGCTGTCACTACTGTAATCCAGTTTGCTCAGAGCATCCCCACTCTCTGCCTCCACTTCACTGACCTGCAGCGATTCTGCCACAGACCTGGAGGACAAAACTCCATCCTGAAAAGATAAAGTGAGCTGTGAGCAGCACTGAGCCAGTAAAATATTTCAAGAGACAGTACTCCAACATTAGCTGTTTCAAAACCTGGACAGCCTACCCCATTTATAAAAACTTACTTATAAACCATTTATAAAACTTTTTTCACGTACCCAAAAGAGGTTGCAATGAACTTCTAAGAAGAGATAACAGAAAATCATACCACATTCTCAGGCAAGCTAATACATTTCATAATTGGCACTTACTGCTTTAAAAGCAGTTCTTCACAGATTGTTTGGAAGTCCACTGTAAAGCACACTTCATATACTGACATTGCATTGTACTGCTTCTGCCAGCATATCACAAGTCTCAACTCTAGAGGGTGCCATCTGCCTGTACAAGCACCGAAGAGCATGGTAAGAAACTTCTGCTTGCCCAGAATACCATCATCTCCCAAGAATTTTCAACCAGAACATACCACAGAGAAGCCTGACACATTTGGTTACCTGAGCACAGCCTGTGGCTTTGGACAGCTGCTCCTGCAGCTGAGTAATGTGCTTCTTTGTTTCCTGTATCTCTCTGAGCAGTCGTGAGCTGGCAGATCGGCTGTACTCTTCTTGCAGAGACTGAAAAGTAGTTTTATGAGGTTTCATCACTCAGTATCTTCTCGGCACCAGAGCTTACAGCCTACCACTAATCCTCATTCCACTTACACATCTAAAATAATATTCAGTACATTTGCACAACCACTATAGATACTATGGAGCATCTATTTTAAATAGCTCTCCTTTGTCCTGTGCCATATGACTATAACTGCAACCTAGAGATCTACTGAAATAATCACAACTGCAGTGAGAATACAGCTGAAGACACAGTAACTCAGCACCACCAAGCAGCACTGTGCCAACTGTCGCTCCCAGTGAGAAATGACTCATGCTTAGTTTTGAGTCACAGATGCTCACGTGTCCTAGGATTGGACCAGACTGACATATATGTATGTTTCCACTTAAAGCACCCACTGCTGATTGTTTTCCTACCCTGACAAGAATTAAAAACTGCAGAGCTGATCAATAAGAGTAATTAGAGTCAGATCTCTGCACAAAGAAGAGCTAGATGAAAACACAAATCATGTTAAAGGAATGCTGAAAATGCTACTGAACATCAACCACCATTCCTTACAATTCAGCCCCTTCCCTTTCCTGGACCCCTCTTGAAGGCAAGTAACAAATTCCAGTACCTGCAGCCGCTCTTGCTCTTTTTGTAGCATCTTTCTCAGAATCTCCACCTTCTGGTTGTGGACAATATTATTCTCCTCCTGGAAAATACAGAGGAACTAAGGGTTAGTTAAAGAAAAAAAAAGAAAAAAAGAGAAGTGTTTGTGTATTTATTTGCTTTCCTTTCTCTGCCACAAATCTGCATGCCTTACAGTCCAATTCTTAATAGGAATTACAGCACTGGATCAGACAGATAGCTCTGCCCATGACAAGGGGATGGAACCAGATGATCTTTGGGTCCCTTACAACCTCAGCCCTTCTGTGATTCTATGATCGTGTAATCTCACACCATGCAAACTGTAGCATATCTCAAAGACAACCTAGGAATAGAGTAATCTCTCAACTGCCTTTACATTATCTCAGATGGGGCAGGATATGTACTTGCAACATGTTTTTCCCACGTGATTCAATGCCCACTGGGTAGTCAGGCAAATATTCTATTTCCAATTTGTTATTTGTGCAAGAAGCTCAAAACAATTCCTCTGAGGAAAAAAAAAATAAAAATACATGACTACATTTTTTCCACTGCTAAATTGGTTCTCTGGAAAGAACACTTTAAAATCTTACCCCCATAAGCACCGGGCTAGTAATCCTTTCTGCATTTCCTGATGTGCCAGGAGAATGGGGTGATGTCATGATGGGAGACATATGCCCAAATGCTGCCAGATCCACTTCAGAATCAGCCAAGGGAATCTGGGGCGACCCCGGTGGGCGCCCCTGAACAGTGAGAGCTACATAGGAACCCGCTGCAGGGAGAACAGAAGTCGTGTTTCAGATGTACTTGCAGATTTCTAAGGCTGCCATTTACTCACCCCTTTTGTGATAATCATTCTTAATGAAAGCACGCAGTGTAATTTCTAGTCTACCAGGTTACATTTACAGTATACATACACTCATACCACAAAATAAACTGTGCTAGGGCAGAAAAAACCGCTAGCACTTTCTTCCAACCAAGAATTCACTTCCCTTGGAAATGCCAGTGCTCTGCACGCAACATAAAGCAATCTGCCTTAATGCTGCCCGAGCAGCTACAGCATTTCAGGTGAAATCAAAACAGGGGAAGATAAGGCAAGGTCTGGCAGTAACTTCAGATGCCATACAAAGGAGAAACTGCAGAAGCAGCCACCCCACATTTCACTTTACTGCCTGTTTTACACACACCTTTACCTCTCAGCACAGGGCGTGATTAGACCTTGTCCATGTCACTTGATAGATAAATTAGACATTGGTCCTTTTAAATTCTGCCTTTCATGCTTTTTAAAGGAGCAAAGTGGAAAAAAAATATAGGAACATGCCTTTACTTACACTTGATCAGCTTTACCACCTCCAAATGGTTTGAGTGTGTTACAAGAGTGCCATTCACCTGGGGATATCAGAGGGAGGGAAAAAAAGCAAACCGTGTTTGGCTACAGCTTTCCAGACAAGGAAAAACTCCTTCTGGCACACACACATTACACAATAAGCAATGCAGCAGAATGAGGAACAGTAACGTTTTCCCCCTATCTCTATTCCTCTGTCTTTCAAGAAACTAACAGATGAACAACTTCTCTCTCTAAGTTTATTCAGAGAGCTCTGAAGAAAAAGAAAACCACAGACACATACCAAAGGAAACAAGCAACCAAATGCAGAAGAGCAACCCACCAGAAGAAGATTTAGGCTAGTTAATTTTACTCATTAATTTACAGAACTGGGTTTTCAAACAAGTATATCTGTGTCGTAGCAGCAATAACACAGCCATCACTTTGCAGCACTGACTTACAAAGTCTTTTTAGCTAATGGTTTAATTTCTAAGTTATTAGAGTCTGAAATATAAGTTTGTTCTGGGTGCAGATCTACTCCTTCCCCTTGCTGCTACTTCTGTTCTCTACATTGATGTTTGAAGCTTGTGGGATGTTGGACTTGCATCAGTTCCTGAGATTAGAATGATCTCCATAACAAAACCAGCTTTCAGCAGTGGGCTCGCAGTGGTTACTGTACATCCCCAGAACAGGAAAACTTCTACCATTCCTCTCCCCCCCAGGCAAAAGCAAGCATTAGTGCAGAGACATCAGTGACTTTCTTTCAGGGAAAGAGCTCATTTGAGCCAAAGGATCAATTTCTCAGACAAGCTGAATGCCCTTACCTTGATAATTCTATCACCCGTTTGCACTCCAGCTCGCATGGCTGCTCCATCTAGAGAAGCAAGAAACCGTTTAGTTCCAATTTGAATAAATGTCACAGGAAACAGGAATGGTTTAAGCACTTCTGTATTTCCATGAGAAGCTACTTCCCATTCCCACCCAGCTTCCTCTTTTTTTAATCAGACTAAAATCTCTGAGTATCTAGACTGAAGAAGGTTCTGTTTCCACTTTGCAGTGGATACAAGCCACAATCCCACCACATCACCCTAATTCTTTATTTCCTTTCAAATGTAAGAGTCACTTTGCAAATACATCTAGATGCTGAGAGAGGTGATTCATTGCATCCCAACAGTGCAACACCCTTTGTCTATGCACATCTGTTCCAAAGTTTGATGGTTATAGCCATCCCACCCATAAGGAAAGAATATGGAGCTGTCTCCTCCATCTCATGCACGTGTTTCTTTGATTCACATGCAAACCCTCTAGGTTGCTCTCTGGTGAGCACATTTAACATGTCTGCTTACCTTCTTTGACAGACTGCACAAAGACTGGGTTGTCTCCACTGACTGTCAGCCCAAATCCATTTTCATCCCGTTGGATAACAACACACCGCTGAACAAGACCTGCATAAGAAAGGTGTAGAAAGGGCAGAAGAAAGAGAAAGAGGGAAATACAAAGAGACACAAGCTAGGCATCAGTCCAAAACCTTATCCTCCTAGATAATCACAGAGCACAGAAAGAAACTGGTACAAGACAACAGAGGGAAATATATATGAGAGACAGAAATAGGGAAGCAGTGCAGAAACAGATAGGAATGTCAAGACAGGTCAAGCTTCTTAGTTCACTTACACAACACAGACATACACAACAGCAGAGATGCAGACAGCTTGGGCACATCAGGCACAACCTGAGGTAACAGCAGGCTGTAAAGAAGAGCAGCTATTTCTCTTTGTCCAAACCAATAGCTCTTGAAAGCATGGCAATGGCTCATAAGGTCCAGTACACCATCAAAAACAATTTCTACAAGCTACTTAAAAAGATGCAAATAGGTCACAAATCTCTCACACCAACACCAATGGTTGTACTAATGCAGATGTACTGATCAGGAAAAGTTCTCCTGCAAAAAATCTCAGCTCAGGGCACCTTCTGTTCCAGGCGAGCACAGACTCAGAGCAGGAGCAATGAGGAGTTACTGCCACACTTCTGAAATCAAGACCCAGCCTCTCACTGAGCTATTTCTGATCTATGAATGGGGCCAAAATCTCAGCAGTTCTGAGTCTGAATCTGCTCCTCCTCCCACGTGCTGTGTGACATCAAAGGAAAATTGTCTTTCTTACTGGAAATGCTCAGTACAGTGTTATAGTGTGAACACAAATACTGTTGCAGAGACAGATGTACTCAGTAGGCACAGCACTTTGAAAAAGCAAAGCGCAAGATACGTCTATTGTTCACCTAAAAGTGAAACAAGGGGAAAAAAAGGAGAAGAAGGCAGCAGCCACTGCACACTCATTGCAGAGCACTTCCCTGAGAGCATCTGCACAGCACCTACCACAAAGGAGCCTTTATCTGGAAGAACAACTTTAGAACTCTGCAAAATGCTTCAAGGACATTGTTTTATTTACATAGCAGAAACCACTAGCTACTAAACATCACCCTTCCTTCCAGCAGCCTGCTTTGCTTCTCAAGCCACATCGGGCAACAAATTTTGCCATCAGCATCTTGAGACAGACTTGAATTTCTCTTCCACAGTCAGATATCAAATTGAAGCAGCATTTGGTGTGGCAGGAACAAAAGGAATTGGGAAGACAGCCTTTGCTGGAATCATTTTGTAAGGAAAGAATTGTAAGAGAGTGCAAAGTCACATCCATGTTTTAAATCGCTTTTGCACCAGTATGGCTCTGCAGCAACTCCAAATGGAAATGAGGAGTTTCAAATGAAACACTGCCTACCCAGTCAGCCCTGTTCTCCTGGAGCATGGCCCATTTGGAAGCAATGTGGGAGTGGTGGTGAAGGTTGCACTGCAGCACTTCTACATCCATCTGATCCCAGTACCATACCCCAGTAATTCCCCTTCTGCTCAGAAAGTTGCAACAAATGACACTACACACAGCGACACACAATGAGCTGCAGAGATGGATGTAAAGTGAAAGCAGACAGGAGGAAGAAAAACCACCACCTTTCACACCCTCTTTATACACTTAAGTGAGAGAACATGCCTCTCCCTTTTGTACCTCCCCTTTTTCTATATGACCAAGCTTCTTCAAGTCTCACTTCACAAGAATGATGCCCCAGGGTGGGGTGTGGGAAAGAGAACACATGCTATTTCATAAAAACAGCTCGTTTTAAACCCTGCTGCCAGACATGCAGGTTTTATGAGTAAGACACTAACTAAGCTTTTGACTCATAAGAACTTTCCTCGCTTAAAGGCACAGCATAGCCTTGTGTACTCACTGCTCTGCCATGACAATTCTCTCTCCCAGAACCAATAATCCCTGGATCTAGTGTACTGATAAGCTTCTTCCTTGAATGAACCTGATGCCAAAGCGGAGGCAAAGCATTAGGGGATGCAACAAAAGCTGACCTGTCAGAGTATTAGTTAAGTCCCAGCAATAATCATGTTAAACAGCTTCACAGCACAAGTCTCAGTTTTATCCAAGACCATCATTGAATTAAGCTCACTTGAACCCAAACTATTCCAGTATTGCCATTTCCCTGTAGTCTTTCACTTTGGATAAAGAAGCAGGCACTCAGCCCTTCTCTAAGACAATATAACAGGGTCTAGCAGATTATTATGAGGCTTACATAGGCCAGCTGAGAAGCCATCCCTGAGAGAGATACACAGCAGCCTTACAGAGATGTGAAGCACTACCTGGAAACAACTTCACCTACTTCAAGACAAGTCTGCCAACTTGGTGCAGCAATGAAAAGCCCACGCAAGCAAGTAGTGATGGATTTTCATTCACATTTCATTCATTTCTCACTTGTGCTGAACAGAAACTATGAGCTGTTCATTGTGTTCATTGCCCTTCATTCTTACTGTGGTATTTCACTTTTCCCAGCTGAAGTTTAAGAAAAATTACAAGGTCAATAAACTCGTTGCTGACACCAATCAAATCAATAATGATCTTATTCCCATATTTGCTTTCACATGGCAACGTCTTGCAATGAGGAAACATCACTGTAAATATGCTTTAAGTAAAAATTAAAAAAAATAAATAGATTTTCATATTTTGAGTAGATTCATAAAATTCTGTAAGAAAAAAAATGTCTTTAAAATCCTTTTTCCTCGTCATGCATACTGCAGCTCCAGAAAGTTGTTGGGACCTCAAGGCAGGGGTGCAGCAAAGCAGCTCAGTGTGCACTGCAGTGAGAGGTCTGAGACAAGGAATGAAAGCAGCTAGAACGAATAATCTCAGAAAAAAAGGCAGTACAGGGAAAGTGAAGGCGACCAACTCTTCAATAGGTGGCACTATTCCCTCTGGGACACTGCAGTCCCTCAAAATGCAACTTCTGGGCAGCAGGAAGGCTGAAGTCCCGACTCCAAGGTCACCAGCACAATATGGTAAAAATAAGCGTTTCAGGCAGTTTGGGCAGATACATTTCAATTGCCCACGAGCTTCCTTACTTAAGAGATCATTTACCATCTCTATAGATGCTAAATGTTTTGAAGCTATTCAATGAAACACAAAATTTCACGTTCCGAATAAATCAGGAGCTGATACTGAAAACTTGATTCTCCAGAGAGCAGAGCCACGAATTACATCTCCCACAGCAAAAAGGAGCTCCTGCTCTGCTCCAACTGTGTGGGACACAGCATGGGAGGAGACTTCTGAACTATAACCTCCCCAGAGGCTTGAGGCCACAATGGGAAAATGCAATTCAGTACAGCGATTGGACATGAATCATTGGATAAACAAAAACAAACTCCTTGGGGCTTTGAGAATGTCCAAATGTTTCACTTTGGTAGGGAAGCTTTATTTCCATCCAGTGTTTGCAGAAAACCCGCTCCACAAAATAAATAAAACGATCAGCTTTCATACAGGAAATTTGTCACTGGGGGAAATTTTGTATTTCACTACATTTCAGTTGTTACCACGTTCTCCATGTGAAATGCCATATTGGAGGCATTCTTCAGATTCCTCTACTAGCTTGGCAACAGAAGTCAGATAAAGCCAAAGCAAAAACTATACCATCTGAAATGATGCAGCACACAGACCCTTCATAGAGCTGTTCATGACAATGGCACTACAAGCCATTCACAAAACAAGGCACGACAGCCTTCCTAGAAGAAAGGAACAATGTGTTTTAGCCATTAAACATAGGACTGGCAGCTCCCATAGCAACAATGCATTCAGTCCCTGTGGTCAAGTGCCCCTTGCTCTCATTGGGGCCACTTCTGGCTATCACATGGGCAGTGATGAAGGCTCCCAAGAGGCCTTTTAACAGGCTGGAAAAACGGTCCCAGCATAAAGACACAAAGCTGGTAAGAAACAAAACAGGAAGAATAAGGAAAGATTCTCTAGGGTTCGATGTAGAAACACATCAACAGGGGCAAAATCTGGATTTTTCAAGGCAAAACAAAAAACGAAGATTTAAAAACTTGCCCCAGAGTTGAAGGTAACAAGTGGAAAAGTGTGCATAAGGCACACCATTGTGTGTATAAGTGTGCATAAATCTACCATTTGGGCTGGAAAATTATCACTGCTGAATATAAAAGGAGGCATCTTTGGAGAGCAACCAAGTCATGGGGAAAGGTAACCAATATCCAACCCCTCACCCTTATTATTATCAATTTGTTTGAGAGACAGGAATTCTACTTCAAGCAAGAGGTATTAAGCACTGTGAAGACTGTGGCACTAATTACTACATTATAGCATACCTGAAATTACACCCAATCACTCCGCTCATCATCTAGGCTTCATTGAGAACCCAGATACGAATCTGGATTTATGGGAGAAAATACCTCACTCTAAATTTGATATGATCATAAATCAACCTAAATACATAAATCTCAAAACATTTTCCCTACCTAACCACTCCCCCCCCCACTGGACCACTCAGATATTAAAAAAAAAAAATTCTGGTCTACTGCTCCTTAATTAAGAATTTTAAGAGCTCAGGACAAACACATACATAGAAATGACCTCCTTTTCCTGATGTCACTCAGGACTTTCCTATTACCCCCCTTCCAAAGGCTAGCCCAAGAAAGAGCCAGTTAACAGCCAGTCACCAGCCAGAAAAATATCAGTACAGTATTTCTACTTGCAGGTCTTAAAATATTTTGGTCCCTTCCAAAGCAAACAACAAACCTCTCTGCACATACCACAGGACCTGGGAAAAGCAGAGGGGAGAGACAAAAGGCAGGGCGAGGTCCAACACAGAAAAGGCCATTGGAAAGGAAGGATGAGTGGAAACTGCTCCCAGAGATACTGGGCACGGACAGAGCATCTGCAGGAAACTTTGGGGGAAGTGAAAGCTTAAGTTAGGAAGTCATGTTTCTTTCTGCCATACATGAAAACCAGGACACTGTGCAGACTGAGGGAGAAGTATAAACACAGATACATTCCATTAAGCATACCAAATGTTTCCTGTAATTAAACTAGAATAGTCTGACAGCACCTCCAGTATATTATGGGTAAGCAGCATTAGGCACAACTCTATGAAGGTTCAAACCATAGGATCCAGTCAGCTGTGCTGTCACCAGCCAGCATCAACCCAGCAAAGGAAAGAACAAGTCAAGGCTTCAACATAAGCTCATCAGAAACATCACCCTCAAAAATGCACCGTCTGAGCAGGTTGTTTCCTTGTTCACTCCTTCTGAGCAGAGGAGGGAGATCTGTAACCTGCAGCAGGTCAGGTTTCTAGCTCTACTGAAGCAAATTAAGGCACTCTCAAAACCTGTTTACAGTTCCTGAGGAACAGACTCACACCCTGAGGAACACAACCATCTCATATTACTTTTTTTTTTTTTAAATAAGAAATATGTATGATTCAAAATCCAGGGAAAGCGAAGAGATTTCCTACTAACAGAAAGAACAGACCACATCTCCTAAACCACAACAACTGAATGGCTTTGCTAACGTGCCTGTGTTGGTTTAGAAGAAACTCTAGGGGTTTTTTGTTTGATCTGTTTTTATTTCTTTATATTCCTTACGATCAGAGCTATGACAGCAACATGTACTCATTACTCAGGTAGTTTAAGAAGTTGGATCACAGTAACAACAGGTAGCTTATTCCAGTGAAATAACACAGCTGATACTTCAAGAGTCATTGTATCTGTTCAAAGGCTACAGGAGGTTACGCAGCAAGCACAGTTACCAGCAAAGAAAAACATGAAACAGAAAGTATTACCGACAAGTATTTCAAATACCAGGAAGAAAAAGGGAAGGGCAAGAAGGCCAGTCCGTGAGAGAAGTCAAGACAGAGCTGGAAATACAAGATGAGAAACATGATGTGCAGCAGTACTGGCCAGGTTCAGCCCAGGCCCAAGGGTCTTACGAGCTGGCAGAATTCAAGACAGCACCCACCAAACCTGCAAAAACTTATTGCAAGTAATTTTTTAAGATATGTTATCTATTTAGGGATAACAAATTCAACAGGTCATTAACATAAAGGTAGGAACAAGAGTGTCACTGTCTAAAGACTAACATTTATGATGCAAGCTGAAGAAAGCAGGATGAGCAAACAGGCTCTGCTCAGCAGACGTTCCTTCCAGCAGCACCCATGGCGGTGTGCTGGCAACACAATGATGTGTGAGGCTACTCCTGTCCCAGACTGCTTCGTGCCAATTTGTTCCAGTCTACAAGCTGACAACACAGCAGTACACAGCAATGCTGAAGGACAAGGGAAGTTACTCCCTTCTTTTGGATGAAGAATGGTTAAGTTCATATTCTTCCATTTTCTTGAAATTATTTTCAGAGATGTTTTTTTCTCCTTCCTTGAAAAATGAAAAGAAACTGATAGGAGATCCTTTATAGACAGTACAAAATGTGAACTACTACCAGCTGATCCAGATTAACTGCTACAATCAGAGCAAGGCAGACTTTTCTACAGCTACACACGCTCCTGTGGAGCCCAGCATGAGCCACCTTCATACAGTGCCAAAAACACGTGATGGCACAAGGTCTCCAAGAACAGCAGCCCCACCAAGTTTTCCCAGTTAGGAAGAGATCAGGAGAAGGGGTGACAACCTGTGCTTGCCACCTATGGGTTAGTTTCCAGCCACTACAAGGACTACAAGCTGATACACTGAAGCAACATTTAAACCCAGTATCCCACTCCTTGCTGCAGAGCCAACCATGCGGATCACATAAGGGATAAATAAAAGCCTCAGGTGCACAGACAGAAAGCATGGAGCAGACTGCAAAGGTGCAAGGCTGCAGCAGCTGCTGGAGCTTACCATACGTCTCGGATCTACTCTCCTCCGAACTAGACTTTGTCTTCTTGGAGGAGCTATCTGCACGAGAGCAGGAGAGAAGGAGAGAGAGATATAGAAAATATGGAGACCAAACATGAGAAGAAAAAAAACTTCATGAAAAACACAGACTGATTTATTAGGTTAAATCGTGCAAAACACAAATAAGATGTGAACAAAACACAGGTGAAACACTTGGAATAAGGGGTGAATAATACGAGCGTGAAGACACAGGTAACACCACAAAGAATTTATCACAGAATTTGAGACACAATAAAGGAAGTTCTCTGCTATGAACTATAGAAAATATTTTGGGCAATAAACAGTTCAGACATGGAAATTCTGGTGACACCCATCTCCAGAGTAAGTAATAAATGTATGCACAGCAGTTCAGCATTCTGGATTCACCCCTTAAAAAGAAGGGAATTTTATGGAGGCTACAGTATGGAGTTCATCCATCAGACCAGATCACAAGCATCCTAAAAGTGGTGCCAGGTAGCAGCCCTCAAAATTCTGAATTACTTTTATCAAATTGAGATTAGAAGATTCCTGAAGTTTGCTTCTAAAGGATTCTTTCTACCAAAGAGGTTCATAGCCTGAGCCCTCCCTCAGCCAACCCCACAGTTTTACACTACATACTCCCAAGGACAAAGGAAGACAACCACTAATTCAGATTTTTTTCCCTTACAAGATTATTATTATTTTTTTTAAAACAGACATTAAAAGCTCATTCATTTCAATTTATTCTGTGTACATCAGGAAGGAGTGATGCAGCCAGTGGCAGGAAGCATTAACAAACAGCATGATTTATAAACATCAGCTCCAAATGCCTAGTGCAAAAACACATTCTGCAAGTTTTACAGCCTTCCAATTCAGCTCTCATCTCTTCCACAAGCCCCAGGGAATTGACTGGACTAAACAGCAAAATGCACAGACATGGAAAAGCACATTGCATGGGGCCAGGAGGCTCAGGCAAGAGCCTGTCATGCATTTTATGAACACACACAGGAGTCACTGGGTTAGTCTTTCACAGAAGGAAGGAAAAATCCCTGCATGCACCCTAATTTCCCATGACAGCACTGGACAGGTTGAACAAGCTGACCTCTCAGAAGGTTAAAAAATAGGACAGCATAGCCTTTAAAAAAATAGAAGCTCATCATAAAATGCATCACGTTGGGAAGTACAAACTCATTTTACAAAGGACAGAGATGGTTCAAAATCCACTAAAGTTCAAAAGATCCAATAAGGAATATTGAGACTAGTTGAGTCTGTAGGGTCTCACATTTCACGCCTTTTTCTACTCAACAGCCAAAAGAACTACTCACAACTAATTACAGTGTTTGCCTCCTGAAATTTCAGACTAACTTTTCTGAAAGAGGAAGCAGTTGTAATTACTCACTGACACCACTAATCTGGGTTTATTCTCACACAATTAACAGCTACTTGGCCGATGAGCGTCTTTAAAAGCAAGCCTGTATTCATTTCAATGCCTGCATGTCTCAGAAGGGCTTTGCAAGCACAGAACAGCAACACTCCTGAACTCCACATATGTTGACACATTAAAACTGGTTTCATTCTGATCCCCAGAACCTTCCAAGCCCAGGCCTGGATCTTCACCCGTGGAGTTTTAAAGCTTTACCTGTCGGATCGAAGTCGTGGGTGCTGCTGCAGCGCTCAACCTTCTGCTTCTTGTCTGCTGGAGACTCTCTGCTCAGAATGCTGCCGTGCCTGTGGCAAGCAAAGCAGAGTCCTGACTACTGCACACAACAGCACTGTTTCACCCATCAGTCTCTGGAAATAACCTTAACTAATCCTGATTGCTAGCGAGTTTACAGAGATGGCACACATTGTGCTCAGCGCTAAATCTATTTCCAGGTTGTCTTCAAGATGAAAAGTCATCTCCCAAAAAACTGAAAAACTTCCCCAAATCTTAACTCCAACTCCTCTCCTAGCAAACATTAAACACCCATCCATGCAAAAGTTAAAGACATGGAACACCCACCACCATCCACTTGAAGGAAGCGCCTGCATGTCGTGCACAAGCAGTGTCACTTTCTCTGCCCACCTCCAATCCCAGCTACGACGACCATTCAGCATGCACAGCAAAAGGTAACACTGCACCATGCACTTTGAGTACACCACCAAATTTTTAGCACCTTATCCTGATCTAACTATGAATCTGATCTCATCTGTACTGGGTACTTCTATATTTGCATGCATTTTTATTTTATTTTTTTTTTTTTTTTTTACAAGCATTCCTCCTTCAACCATACTGCGTCACAACGTGCAATGTATATAAGCAGCCAAATGTCAGCAACTTACCTTGTAGGTTTTTTAAGAGGAAACCTGAAAAGAAGAAACAACAAATACAATGAGCTTTTTTAGATTCTCAATATTATGCTTGATATTAATGCTTATGCTTAAATACAAAGTTATTCTACTGCCTTGCAGTGCCTTCAGAAGTGAATAACTGATCTCTTCCACTTCAGCAAATTTTTGGCCCATCTAGGCAAAAAATTGTCAAGGCAAGGTTTCCAACAGAACACAACAGAAACAGAATTCATGCTGTCAAATCCAGTGTCCGGTAGGTCTATGTTTCCCATTAGCATAGCAGCTCATGGATCATCTTCCTCTCATAACAACTAATTTCATCAATGAAAATTAACATAGCTCAATTTTTCAGCCTGCTGATGGACTGCTTGTCCAGCATCTGAAGAAGGTCCAGACTGTCACTGAAAATTCTCTTATAGATGTAGCATTCCCATTACTTCCCTCCCATGTGGGTTCCATGAAGCCCAGCAATACTGCAGCTCGTGCAGACGTTCCCTAACAAGATCTCTTAATTATTTTCATGAAATTGTCAAATTTGAGACAATGGTGTAAAGTTAAGCTGGAAATATAGTAACTACTCCAGATGTTACTTCTGGAACACAAACAACATAAGCAACAGTTCAGATGCAAAAGCAGGCACAAGTGTATGTGCGTTCTGTAATGAAACAAGCAGGACCTACAAAACCTGGAATTTGTTTTCCTTGAATTACCACAGACAGATGACAGAGCGAGGAGTATGCCACCCAGCTTAAAGCACCAACCTCTACTCTGTTTTTCTCAAAACTTTTCATGAGTTTCAACTCCCAACTCACATTCAGCTGAGCCAGACACTTCACAGTGTTCCCACAGAAATCCCCTGAGCACAAACAGGAAGGCTGCCCCAAATGCTCCTGTTTGCAGCTCCTTTCTCCACTATGTGCATCACCTAGCCCTGTGATATACCGAGTGGCACAGCCCGAAACAGCAGCCTCAGAGCTAACTCCCTCCCAGTTACCTGGAAAACATAACTGGACACACAGACACAGTGGAAGCACCCAACTTAATCCTTCACTTCAGCTAACAACTGCAACTGTGTGTACAGCCTTAGGACCAGGCAGCTTGAGCCCAAGCACACGCTGCTAATAGGGCACAGCACTGAAATGAGTACCTGGTGACACACCAGGTGAGTGACCCTACAGTGACACCAACAACGCTGTCTGCCTGTTCCAGGGAACAACCACACACAGCAGACCCAGGGCACAGCAAACAGCAGCCACCCAGGGACAACGCAGATGGAACCCAATGCTGAGCAGTGAGCAGATCATAGGATCATAGAATTGTTAAGGTTGGAAAAAAACACTGAGATCATCGGGTCCAACCATCAGCCCATCATTCGCAGCGCTCACCCAGTGCTACATCCAACAGCAGCAAGGGAAAGAAAATAGCCCAGGGAAAAGACCTATCACCCTTCTAAGGGGAAAACATCCCAGATGAATGACATCTTTTTATTATTATTTAATCTAATGCACTTGCTTTTATTTGCTTAAAAGCATCCTAACATCACTCAAGAATATTTTAATGAAGCATTTCAGAGAAAAAGCTTATTCTGCAGTCTCTCCTACCAGGTGTGCAGAAGCCCTGAACTTAAGCTCCTGCAGCAAAAGGAGCTGTTGACAAACAAAACAAAACCAGCTCACTGCTCCACTGTTTACCCAAACAGCTCAGTTATTTACTACGTGCTCAAGCAGAAGTGCAAACAGGGGATTTTTGAGGTCTAGAAGTCATGATGTTTCTGCTTAATGCATGTAAGCTGTTGGCGCTAATTATTCACAACGAAAACACTGACGGCTTTTATTTTTATGTGGAAATCTTCAGGATTTCTTTCGATCTGAACGGGGAGCTGAGTTCTGAGTGGGTTCTGAGCTCCCCTGAGGCTGCATCGCTCAGCAAGGCCGAGCCTTGCAAGCACAGCCCCGACCCTCCCCGGGCTCCGGCCCAGCCCTCCCCGTCCTGCCGACAGCCCGCCGCGGGGCGGAGCTGCCCGGAAGCGCCGGAGCCGCGGGGGGGGGGGGGGGAGGTGGGCAGGCCGGCGGGGAGGGCCTGGTAGGCCGCGGGCCTGGGGAGCCAAGGGCCGAGTAGGCCGCGGGCCTGGAAAGACGAAGGCCGGGTAGGCCGCGGGCCTGGCAGGCTGCAGGCCTGGGTAGGCCGCAGGAACGTTCATGCTCACGTTAAATCCGAAAGCAGCACCGAACCTGCCCCACTGTGTCACTTCACTCAGCACCACGTGAAATAAATGTCAGGGCGCGGCCCGCGGCTGGAAGCTCAGCCCCACAGAGCGCTGGCACGTTTGGGTTCCACCATAAAACCCTGCAGACATTTTGTCTGATAGGTGATGAACATCAGCGCATTTTCGAACTAGTCGCTCCACTCTCTCCTCCCAAATACCGGGAACAATTAAAAGCCAAGGCACATTCTGTTTCTAAAACACTGGGTCAAATAATTTCAAGTAACTCAAATGCATCAAATTACTCCAAGTATGCCCTGTTAGTCACACTGCGTTGGTGAAACCTATTTACCAGAAAGCCGAGTGAGAAATACGTACCAAGAACGAGAAACACCGCATCACAACTCACACATGGATGCACAGCTCAGTGCTGGAGCCATGCCTACATGCTTCCTTCCAGAAAAAGATAGTTTGAAAATCTGTGTGTCCAAACACACACGAGCGAGGAAAGCTCCCCAGCTCCAGCAGCACAAAGCATTCCATTCCAGCCCTGGAGGTTGAAAATATATCTGACCATAAATAGCACAGCACTCCGATAACCATGTTGGGGTTGCTGGTCCTGTTCCTCCCATTCTGAAATATTACAAGATTTCAATTGATTGCTATCTCCAGAAGCGATCAAAGAAAAAAATATTTAGATTCAGAGAAGTTCTGTGCACTTTACTGCTCGCATCCCTGAAACTTTGAGGCCTGTGCGTGTTTCAAGTGGAATTATAAATTACTACAACTTGTGCCGAGATGAGTAAGAAATATTGTGAAACCCACACAAAAGAGAGCAGCCAAAAACTGCTTGCTTGACAGAACTCATCTTTAATTAGGAGATGAACAGTCGCAACAGAAGCTTCTTTCCTTGCTTTATTAGTTTCATTTAAAATAAGGCACTGCTTGTCACAGACAAACCTTCTCAGAGAATCTCAGATTTGGGAAAAAGCAGAGATGAGAAACAATTACAGGTTCATTCGTGTTTTCCACACAGTTAGGAAGAGAACAACCAGAGGTTAACTTAGAGTCTCATCCCTCTCTCCAGAGTAAAAGCCCCAAACCACGGCTATTGAAAAATTCCATCACTCTACTTCAGAAGGTTTCACCCAGTAATTAGTCAATGAGAGACCTTCTGCCAGCACCACCTCCACAGGTTTTGGTAACACAACAAGCTGCTTTGCTGCCTGCACTCCTGAGAGGAAGCTGGCTTTTCCTTTCCTTTTGCTTACACATATCCACATGGATCCCATAACTACTCCTGAGTGACACATAAATTGCCTGACAGCCTCACACCTTTATTCCTAGCTCCCCTCAGCACCCACCATGCTGCATTTCTTGTATCCTGGTTGAACCTGCACCGATAGAAGCCAGAAAAATGCTACATTTTCTGTGAAAATCCAGTATGGCTAAAGAAGTGCCTTGAAATTACTGTAAACGTTAATGTTTGAAATGCATTTTGCAGGTATTTTCCAGAACTACATCTTTAAAGAAGTGAGAAACAAACAGTCTGTGCATCTCCCCAATTTGCAGCTCAGCACAGCCACTGGGGCACTCATTTGCTGGGCTTAAAAGCTCTGAGAAAGGCATTACCAAAGAGTGCTGACATGACTTGAACAAAAGCAGTACCAATGTGACCTTAACACAGAGCTAAAGGCAGTCTTCTGCCACAACAAAATGGGGGTAGGTGTGTTCTGTACGGGACAGCAGATGAGTAAAATGAACTGATGAGATAGCAAATGACAGGTGGGTTGAGAGAGACGCAGATGCAGCAAGTGGGCTACTAATAGCAACCAAGAAAAAACATAGGCAGAAGCATTCCAGCTCACCATGCTGCCCACAGACTGCAGCTGCAAGCACACAGCCTTCTGCAGACAGCGCTGATCCAAGATGGAATCCACTGGTCCCAGCACTGACCCACTTGAAGAGCAGCACCATCTCTTCCCCATAGCACAGCACACAAGCTCAGAAAACCACCCAGATTTTTTCCCCTCAAATAAAACCCCAAGTGCAGACTGATGACAACAGCTTGCAGCGCAAGGTGTGGATGGAGAAGCAGCCAGATGAAGGAGGGCACCAAATGGTGCAGATTCCTGGGACCAACACACAGATCCCAGGAACTTGCAGCAAGTGCACCAGGAGGCGAAACTGAGCTGGGCAATAAAAGTTTCCATGTTATTTTTGTAGGAGTCCGAGGCGGCAACCACAGCTGACGCAATGACTCATGGAAGAACCGTTTGTGGCATTATTAGCTTTAGATTACTAACAGCTTGCAAGCAGAGCTAGTCGCTGCCTTCTGAGTAGGAACACAGGGAATTTAGGACTGCTATTTGTTGAGGGGACTCGACACTGTTCCCATCCTTTAAATTTTGTCAGCGACTTCAGTGCTGGACTGGTCCTAACAAAGCATCAGCACATACCTCCAGCCTACCAATGGCCCAGCAAAGTCCCTTTGCATAACTGGAGTGCGCCCTTCATTTTCGCTTTTAGGTCAGGAAACAGAGTAGGCAAAGCAAGCTACCATCATACCTCTTGATGGGTCAGTGTAAGGATCAATGCAAAGCACCAGCCCCATGGCAACCTGAAGTGCTGAGTCAAGTGCTTAACCAGGGCGAGTTCAATTGAGTAAAATCAAGGAGAAAAAAAAATAGATGCCTTTTCTCAAGCCTGGAAAGCCAGCAGGGCTCTGATGGTATGAGAAGTTAGCAGTGTAAGAGGATGGTGAAAAGCATTCCATCACTGCTAGTGAGAGCAACAGTGAGAGGTGTCCTCT